CTGCGCGTCCTGTGGATGTACCTTTGTCGCGCGCCGGAGATGACTCGACGCCGCTGAGATCGGAGATCAAGCTCTGACAGGTCGCACGTCGCTCCTTTGACGCCGACGTGATTTACCCGTGCAGATCACATCAGGACACGGTCTCGACGCGCTCGGTACGACGCCTGCGACCCGTCTCGGGTCAGGTGGCACGACGCTCATCGCGCCTGCCAGCGCTGCCGTGCAGGTTGCCACGACGAGGTCGAGCACGCTTCTATACGCTCGCCCAGCCTCCCTTTCCATCCCATTAGGCAGCATGGGAACGGTGGCGATCAGAGGCAAAGCCTACGAGGGGTGGTGGAACCACATGTCACGGCTACTGCCGGCTCGACGCAACGATAGCCTCCGGAGGCTGACTTTGAGGCACCATCATCGGACGATGTCGACGATTTGGGTCGCTCTCGCGGTAGCCAGATGACCTCTCATACTAGGAGCATCGGCCATGGCCGCAGGGAGCGCGGGGGAGGGCGCTGGAAGCAACACGGAGCTCCGTTGGAGACGTTTTCAAGATTAGCGTGTCAGAGTGAAATGGCACTAGCCATGACACTGTACACCACGCACGTACACAGGTCCTCACTCAGCTTCCCGTCCCGGGGTTCCACCGCCCGCATTCCCAGGGCTCCGGTTCTCCCTGGTTCGCTCTTTTATTCGCCAGCCGAGCGTCGCCTGACGGCCGCTGTAGCCGTTTCTGATGTCTCTTCTTTGGCCGAGGTCTCGCCTCCGCGTCACCTCCGACTGGTACCGCAGCCTCCGAGAGCGTCGACGGCCCGGCCGGGGTCTCCCCGGGCGAGGACGGCGGCATTGGATCGTGTCGCCACCCCTCCCAGGGGGGTCGAGCCCGCTCTCCCTGGTCGGCGAGTCGTGCCCGCACTCGTGGCCTCTCTATCGTCCCTGGCTCGCCCCCCCCCTCCGCCGGCTCCTCTCCAGGCTCGGGGAGGCGTGGCCCTCCCTGTCGAAGGTCGTGGTGGTCCGGTTGCCACTGCGGCTGGCCTTCCCTCGGTGAGCCCGTACGTCCCGACTCCACTCTCAGAGGCCGCGTTAGCTCATCTCTCGCCTCCTCCGACAACTGACCCCAAGCCCCCCCTCGGGTCCTCCGGCCTCGGCTTTCCGGCTCGCCGGTGGGCCCGCTATCGTACCGCGGTAACTCCCCTCCCCCATCTCCTCCTCCCGGGTACACCAGCTTCCGGCGGGGCGGTCCCGGCCCCCCCAGGTTATTCCGAGCGGGTCCACACGGCGGCGGCCCCGCCGGCGGCGGGGGTGGAGGCGGTGGCAGGGGCGGCGGGTACGGTGGCGGCCCTCGCGGCCCAAACGCCCGGTGTGGAGCCGCTGGGGCGGCCCCACGACCCTGCAGCCGTTCCAGTGGCGTGGGTGGAAGTGGCAGTGTGGGTGGCGGAAACGATGGCGGCACTGGCGGCCGCACCGCCTGGTGCGGAACCTCAGGGGCGGCTCCTCGACCCAGCGGTCGCTCCAGCGGCGGGGGCGGAGGTGGTGGTGGCGGGGGCGGGCCCGGTGGCGGTGCCGGCCGCCGCACCTCCTGGGGCGGGGCCTCGGGGGATGCCCCCTGCCTCTGCGGCCGTTCCAGCCGTGGTTCCACGCGTCGGCCGTCCACCCCGCTCGTGGGGGGGGGCCTAGCTCTCGTCTCCCCTCGGGAGGGGGGGGGGCAGGGCCCGGATTCGTCGACGGCCCCGCCTCTCCCCCCCCCCTCTCCGCATCAGGGCGTAGACTGCCCAGTAGTCGCGTCGCCTCCCCCCTCGCCTGGTCCTTCTCGATTCGATCCCGCACCGCCCGGATATCAAAGGCCGAGTTGTGTTCGGACAGTGGGCCCGCCGATGCCACACGCCTCTTCACACAGCAGGCGTAAGAGGGGGCGGCGGAGGGGGGGGCGGCGGCGAGGGCGGTGGGGGAGACGGGTGCGGCGAGGAGGGGAGCGGCGGAGAGGGGGAGGGGAAGAGAAGAGGGAAGGAGGTTTGAGAAGGAATCGTGTGTCCCCCCCCCCCTTCTCATCGACAAAGAAAAAACGAAGGCAAACCGATCGCGTAAACGGCGTCGAATGAAGACCGCCGAGTTTGATCGACAATCCGAGATTTGCACGCCGTCGAGCATGCCATGGCAGACGATGCGTCAGCTTGTGCGGCGCTCGCGCCGCGCCGGCTGGCCCATCGAGGGCACTCTCTGGCGCTGTCCGGGCCAAGCGCGGCGCCGCGCATGCCGCGTGCCACTCGCCGTGGCTTGCGGTGCAGCGCCACTGCAGCCTCGAAAACGTCGCGCACAGATCCAAGAGGCTGCCCACCAGGCAGCAGAGTGCTGCACCGGCTTGCAGCGGAGGCTGTGGCGCTGCGGCGTCGTCTCCCCGCCCTGTCCACGGAGCAGACGAGCGGCGGCACGGCCTTCCACCAGCTGCAGGAGGTGCGCCCCTCCCAGTGGAAGCACAGGATGCTCCCTCCGCATACGCAGCTTTGCGCAGCGCAGCGTACGGGCCACGCCACGCAAAGCCGACCCTCAGTCTGCCCGAGAGGCTGTCTGCGGAAGGCCTGGCAAGCACGCGCCCGCCACCTCCGCGGCCATGCCCTCCGCCCGGGCGAGCGAGCAGCAAAGAGTGGAGGCGGATCGCCATACCCAGCCAACGGCGTCTACAGCCCGAGCGTTATCTTTATCTTGTCGGCGGCGGCAGCACCACACCCCTCGCAACGTTGCTGCCGAACTCTCGCCGCCGGTCGTCATGCTGCAAAAGGTGCTGCTGATGGGCAAATCGGGCGCGGGCAAAACGTCGATGCGCTCCATCATCTTTGCCAACTACCTCGCGCGCGACACCATGCGGCTCGGCGCGACGATTGACGTGGAGCACTCGCACGTGCGGTTCCTCGGCAACCTCGTGCTCAACCTGTGGGACTGCGGCGGGCAGGAGGCCTTCATGGAGAACTACTTCGAGTCGCAGCGCGACCACATCTTCCGCAACGTGCAGGTGCTCATCTACGTCTTTGACATCGAGTCGCGCGAGCTCACAAAGGACATCGAGTACTACGGCTCGTGCCTCGCCGCGATGCGCCAGAACTCAAAGTCGGCAAAGATCTTTTGCCTGGTGCACAAGATGGACCTTGTGCCGGACGAGCAGCGCGAGCAGGTCTTCCGCCAGCGCGAGCGCGAGCTGCAGGCCGTCGCCTCGCGGCTGGAGCTCGAGATCTCCTGCTTCAAGACGTCGATCTGGGACGAGACGCTGTACCGCGCGTGGTCGCAGATGGTGCACGCGCTCATCCCGAACCGCGACTCGCTGCAGACCCACCTCGACAAGCTGTGCGCGGTCTGCCAGGCGGACGAGGTGGTTCTCTTTGAGCGCGCGCCCTTCCCGCACCGCGTCCTCCTCCCGAGGAGAGAGCCCCTCCCTGAGCCGTCTCGGAGCCCGCCCGTAGACGCGCCACCTTCCTCGTGATCTGCGACGCGGTGCGCGCGGCGCACGAGGACGTGCACCGCCACGAAAAGATCTCAAACATCATCAAGCAGTTCAAGCTCTCGTGCTCTAAGACGCAGGCGCAGTTTGCAACCATGCAGGCGGGAACCTCCACGCCCGCCCGCCCGCCCGCCCGCCCGCCCGCCCGCCCCTCCGCCCCTCCGCTTCCCGCCCTCCGCTCCCCGCTCCCCTGCGCCCTCCGGAGGCACGCGCCACGCCGCCCGACAGGTTCGAAACGCGCGCTACTCGGCCTTCATCGAGGGGTTCACCTCGACAACCTACGCGATGGTCATCGTCTCCGACGCGCGCGCTCTCGCCCATCCCCCGGTGGCAGGCCCCGGCACGAGTGGCGCAAGACTCGCCTCTCCCCCGCCCCTCGCGCCGCAGGCGAGCATACAGCCCGCCACCACCCTCATAAACATCGAGGCGAGCCGCGCGCACTTTGAGTCGCTCATCGCGCAGCTCAAGCTGTAGAGCTCTTCCCTGCGTCATGTTATACGGTGCGCCCCGGTAATCTCGAGGTTGAGCCTGGGGCACACCTCTCCGGAGGGAGACTTCGAGCCGGAGCATCTCCCCCCGCGGTACGATGTCGTGTATCATCTCTCGGCCTCTCTCTCTCACCCCCGCGCGGGCGTGGTCGGTGTCTCGCTCTTGCGCGGGGCCAGCGCAGTCGGTCTCGCGTATTGTGCAATGCGTCATGAAAAGGCATGTGTGTAATGGGTGACTCGTGGTAAATATCCGAACACACAAGCGACGTCCCCGGGGGATGGAGAGAGGACGCGCGGCGCGGCCACAAGGCCGAAGGCGCGTGCGGTCGACACACAAACGACGACGGCGCCGCGAATATACAAGCCGTCCCGCCTTCACGCTGGGGCGGGGCTCGGCGCGGAACTGGCCGCGCCGTTCCCTCGTCGCGCCGAGCCGGGCGGTGCGTCTGACGCGGAGCTAGGCGCGGAGCCACTCATCCGCTTGGACGTGCCGGGCCGCTGCGGCAGGGAAGACATCTGCGTGCCGCTGACGGGTCGCGGGCGCACGGAGGCCTGCTTGCGGCGGGCGGCGCGCTTCTGCATCGCCTCCTCGCAGCAGAGTTGGCACATCGACAGGCAGGGCGCGTTCTTCTGCAGCTCGTCGTTGCATCTCTGCCAGCGCGAGGACGGCCGCTCCGGCTGCTGCGCCGCCTTGCGGCGCTGGGCGACAATAAACTCGTAGGTGGTGACGCCGCGGTGGATGAGGCCGAGGTGGAAGAAGAGCAGCTGCGAGACGAGGAAAAAGGCCGCGAGCGCCTGCGCAGGGCGGGCGGGGCGCGCGCGTCTCGCTCCGAGCGAAGGGAGGGGGGAGGGGCCGGGGAGGGAGAGCAGGCGAGGGGGAGGGAAAGGAGGGGGAGGGTGGCGCGCGCGCGCCGCGAGCCCGGTCAGTCCCATGAGGACCGCGTACACGGCGGACGGCATCCCGCCGTACGTGTCCTCCACGTCCCGCACGAAGGACGAGTCGGTTAGCCCAACGCAGGCCTGCACCGCCGTCGCGAGCTGCAGCGCCGTCATCGCGCCGACGGCAGCGAGCATGGCGAGGAAGTAGCGGTAGTTGCCCTCCCCTATGCAGGTGTTGACCCACGGGCAGTGGTGGTCGAAGATCGCCACGCACTTGTCGCACCGCCGGCAGTGCCGCGTCCGCTTCGCCACCCCCACCTCGCACAGGTAGCAGTAGTTTATCCCCGCGCCCGGGCCAGACACGGTGGGCGGGCCGACGCGCTTGGCGATGACGGCCGGGTCAGCCGCGTCGGTGTGGGTCGTAAGGAACCCAAACACCAGCGCGGATCCCGCCGACGCCGAATACAGTGCGATGAGAGCGATCCCAGCGGCGGTGTTGAGATGCAGGGGCAAGTACAGCCCGTAAAAGAGGCCGAGGAAGCAGCCGATGAGCACCCACGAGCCGACCTGGTGCGAATCGAACGGCCGCTGAAGCCCGTGTTGCCTCTGCGCCATCGGTGGGGCCGCCCAAGAGCTCACAAGGTGGGTCGTTCGGCCGAAGCGCAGGAAGAAACACGAGCGGTTTTCTTCCGGAAAGCGGCAAAAGTTTTTCCCCTTCGTCACACAAGTACAGGAGTACGGATACCTGGCCCTATCACAGTGTGAGTCCTTGTCAGGTATGGCAGTATGGCGCTGACTTCCTAATGTACCCCAGTATAGCCAGCCATTCTGAGCCACGGATACTTTTTACCCTACTTGCCCCCGTCCCTGAAAAAAAATTCCCGACTTGAGTTGGTCAGCACGCTGATGGAGGACCAGCAGGTCGACAAGGTGGTCGTTGGCGTCCGCCCCGAACCGCCCGACCGTGCGCCCGTCTCCTCACACGCACCACCACGCGCCCTCGCCCGCAGCTCAAGTCCAAGTACGGCGGCCTGCCGACGCAGAAGGGCATGCTCGAGCGACGGCTCAAGGGTGGCGACAAGAAGCACTTTGACTCTGCGGACTGGGCTCAGGACAAGGCCTCGCCACCGGCCGAGAGAAGGCCGGTGGAGGCGGTGCGCTCCGGCGAGGCGACCGTGCCCCCGCCTCTCGGGAAGCTGCGAGAAGCGGCGCCATGACATTGTGCCACCATGCGGCACGCTTCACTCTTCCCTTGTCACCATACCCTGGTGCCTCGCACCGCGCCGCACCACGCGGCCTGCACACGCGCGCGCGCCGATCATTAAAGCCGCCAAGCGCGACCGCTAGGCCTCGTGCCCGTAGCCACGCGTAGCCACGGGGGCTCCGCGCGTGGCCCACCCTCCCCGGCCTGTTTGTCGATGAATCCAGAATCCTGCAGACTGTGGTCCGACGCGGTACCTCTTCTTTTCGCGCAGTAGCTACTAACAACGAACAGTATTCTCGCCAGCGTGCAGTGTTGAGCCCCGCGAGCGCGCGGGGCCTCAGGCTGAGCGCCGCTGCGCTCGCACGTCCACGTGCCTCCCGGTCACGGCTCGCTCGATCCCTCGGCGGCTCCGACGGCAGGCGGGAGCATCGTCGCGCCCGCCGGCCGCGCTACCCCCGCAGGCCACAGCCATTCCGCCAGCGCCTCTGCGAGCTGCTCGGCCGCCTCCGCGTCGCCGATGGAGACGGTGCGCGAGCCGCCGCCGAGCAGGGCGGCCAGCTGCGGGTTGATGTCCGAGACGGCGAGGCGGAGCGAGACGGGCGCCGTGTGCGAGCCCGCCCGCTCGAACCGCCGCACGCCCGCCGTCGGCGGCAGCGCCGCGAGCAGCTCCGCCGAGCAGTCGAGCGAGTCGCCGTCGAAGGTGAAGACCGCCGTCGCAGCGGGCGCGTACCCCGCGAGGGCGGCGGCGAGCTCGTCGGGCGTGGGGGAAACCTCGACGGCCACGCCCTGCGCGACGCCCAGCTGCTGCACAAAGGCAAACGCATCTCGCACCGCGCCTCCGTAGGGTGCCGCTCCGCCGCCCTGCATCTCGCCGACCAGCTTCGAGGCGAGCTCGACCGAGTCGGCGACCCGAAAGTTGTTGAAATTCAGGAGCGCGAGCGGGTCCGCCTGCGGGGCGCCGCCCTCGCCCGCGCCCGCCTCGCACGCCAGCAGCGCCAGCAGCTTCGCGCCGAGGCTGTGCCCCACCCGGAAGACGGGAGCGCCCTCCGCCGGCGCGAGACCTTGCGCGCGGCTCTCCTCCAGCGCCACGTCAAAGTCCGAGGCCACACGCCGGGCGAGCTTGCGGTGGTCCAGGCCGAGCTCGTACGGCGTCGCGATCACCGCGACGTCGGCCGAGCTCGCGAGCCGGCTGAGCAGCGTATCGTAGGCGAGCTGCGGCGCGATGCCGAGCGCAGCGCCGCCGACAAAGTGCACCGTCGCCCACGGAGTCGCGGGACCGAGGCGCAGCCAGCCAGGCCCGACTCGCTGCCAGCCGACCGCGTCGGTGCTGTCTGCGACCCGCGCGAGCGAGCCGCCGAGCACCGCGAGCGAGCCGCCCACGCCGTCGTCGGCGGCAGCGCGGATGCGGCACGCGCGCGTGGAGGGAGGGAGCGCCCACGGTTGCCGCGAGGGCGTGAAGGCCGGGGTGAGGCAGGAGAGCGCTAGCATGCACGTATGAGGCCGCCAAGGTCGAGAAGAAGAAATCCCTGGGGGCATTCCTGTGGTCCTCTCTCCTCTCCTCTCTCTGTCTCCCTCAGTTCTGTGCTTACTTTCCTCCTCAAGAAGGGAGAACGACGAGACTCGAGTGAGACGACCTGGTCCTGGTACCTGGAGACGACGACCCTCTCGAGAGCGACGACGCCGCGAGGACCACTGTCCACGACTAGGTAGGTAGGAAGGTGAAGAACAGTCAGGCTCGGAAGGACTGAAAGACAGGGGAGAGGCAGACGTCTTCTACACTCCGCCTTAAAGGACGAATGCCAAGTCATTATACCCGCTCGTCTGCAAAACCGCACTATTTGCGACGCGCGGAGCCGTCTCGCGCCCCGCGTGTGCGGAGTGCGTCAAAGGCGAAGCCGACGGCAAATGGCAGGTGCATCATCATCGTGCTGAGCGATTTCGCGGAGCCGAGCGCAAAGGCGTGAGCATGCACGGCGGTCGCGGCGGCGTGGAAGAAGCAGAGCACGGCGCTGACAAGCCCGCCCGTGGGCGCGTCCACCTCTCTCCGCAGCAGCGTACATGCGGCGAGGAGCGCGAGCGAGAGGAGGCACACGCCGTGGTGCCGCACAAACTTGGCCTCCGGCCCCGCCGCCGTCTGTCCCTCGTAGCGCCCACGCAGCTTCATGGCGCCGAGGACGGTCTCGAGGACAGTGTGCGCGAAGAACAGCATGCCCGAAGGACCGAGCCGCGACATCGCGGGCTCAGGTTTCTAACAACAACCGTCAGCGAAGGCCCCTGGGTTCCAACTTTTTCCGGGGTATGGTATGGTAGTCGCATGCTAGTTCAAGACCATACCCCCCCGCCTGCTGGCAGACCTGCTTGAGGGTATGGTAGGGCTAGTCTTGGGCGGGCAGGACCATACCCCCTATCCATCTAACCATATGTTGCGAATTGCGTATCGGCGGCTCAGCGGCGGCGCCTGAGCGCGGGAGGGGGCGGGGAGGGTACCCGCCACCGTCTGGTGGTGCGGGGCGACGGGCCCGGCCCGAGGGAGCCGCGTCGAGGCCGACCTCGGGGCGCGAGAGGCCTCCCACGGCCGAACCGCACGCCCCCCGGAACGCGCGGTTCGCCGTTCGTGGGCCGGCGCGTCGGAGACGCGCGCGACGGCGCCCCGCGCCGCTACCCGCAAGCGCAGCCGCACCCAGGCACCGGGTGCACTCATTCGACAGCTTAATGCACATAAAAATAGTGAACAGCGGCGGAAGCGACACCGAGACCGCGCCTCGGAGGGCGCGGAGACACAATTCGGCCCCGGCCCGCGGTCAGGGGGGAGGCTATGGCGGAGGGGAAGGCACGCGTCACGCCCACAGGTGCCATGGGCAGAGCTTAGTGACCTGCTCGCGCACGTACTCTTCAAAGTCCGACATGGAGCGCTCCATCTTCTTCCACGGCGCACCTGCGCGGCGCTGTCGGTCGCCTGCGGCGCCGTCCCGGTTGCCGCCCCACTCGCTGAGGTCCAGATCGAGCAAGTTTGCATCGCTCGCGGCAGTCGCAGCCTGGTAGGTGTCTCCGATCTTCTCCTTTAGAAAGAGCACAATCAGCGCCTTGTCTTTGGCGATGTGTTTGAGATGCTCCGACTCGTCCTCGCGGTTGGCGTGCAGCGCCGCGCGAACCGAACGGTTGACGGTTTGCGTGAAGGGAACGCGTCGAATGAACTTGCGAACCCACTCTTCTGTGATGTTTTTCGGGCAGGCGTCCGCAATCCAGTTGTTGAGCTGCTCAATGGGGAAGTCGAGGCCCACATGCGTGTCGAGCCAGCGGAGGGTGCGAGTGTTGTGAAATGCAGTCCTCAACGGCTCCCTCAGCGCCCCGCCCCAGTACACGGTAATGACGGACATTTGGCTGTAGTTGGTTTTATTGGCTGCACGGGCCGTCGGGAGGTTCTCGCGCCACACTCGATCCAGAGTGGCCGAGTCGTTTTTCCGGACAGCCGCTCGCATTTCAACATACAGGAATCCAAACAGAAAGAGGAAGTTGCAGATGTAGCCGAACGACAAGTTGCGCTCAGCTTCGCGCAAAAAAGCGTCGCAGTGCCTGTAGTCGCTGCCGGTTTGTGAAATGAACACGACGTACTCGGCGAGGGCCTCGACAGCGATCCGCAAGAAGTGTTCGTGCTCGTTGAACTCTGACACTGTCGGGTCTTTTTTCACCTTTCGGTTGCCCACCACGGCTGCCAATTGCATGAGCAGCGGCCACCACAGTCGCCAGCCGCCGTGCAGCACGTGAAACTTCCCGTGAGGCGCCTCGCCTAGCCTAGGAATCACGACTGGTGTACGTTCCAGGAACAGCTTGGGTTCTTGGGCAATACGGTGAATGAGGCGCATGTATGACAGCCCGTCGCCGCCCAACTGCACGCAGTTGGAATTCATGTGGAATCGATGGCTGCGCATCTCCCGAAGCTCAAAGTTCACATCGGCATACGATGACTGCTGTACGCCAAACATCGGGTCGTGCCAATGGAAGTACGTCTGCGGATAGGGCGAGTTGTAGTGCTTCTTCGTCCACAGTACTGACAAGGACTGCGCGGCAAGATAGGCAGCCCAACGGGTGCGTCGGTTGGCGAGAGACCGGAGAGCAGAGACATCACAGAGACGATGCCCTTCCTCACACCGCTCTCCGCCAACACGCTCGAGCGCTCCCCCGGCCGACGCACGGCTCCCGGCAAATCCCCGCTCAAGCCCGCCAAGTCGCCGCTCAAGCCCGCCAAGTCGCCGCTCAAGCCCGCCAAGTCGCAGCTCAAGCCCGCCAAGTCGCTCAAGGCGGCCCAGCCGGAGGAGGTCCGCGTCTTTGGCGTGGGCGGCGTGCTGCAAGAGGTGCGTGGCGCGACACCGGCGGCCAACAAGGGCGAGGGCCGCGCCGCGAGGGCCCCGACCACCGATCCCGAGGAAGGCTGCGCCGAGTGGACCGCCGAGGCGTGGGCAGAGTGGGAAGGGGAGTGGTCGGCCGAGGAGTGGTCCGAGTGGGAGGGGCAGTGGACCGCCGAGGAATGGGCGGCGTGGGACGAGGAGTGGGAGGCATGGGAGGCGGACCCCGAGAACGGCGAGCATCACGACGCGGGCGAGGTCACCATCTTTGGCGAGACGGGAGTGCTGCAGACCGCCCGCGGCGACACTCCGTCGGGCCACAAGGCCGAAGGGAGGCTGGCGGCAGCGCCGCCGGCGCGTGCCATGCGCCGCCACTCGCTGGGTGACGCCGCGCCGACCTTCGGTGCGAGCCGACTCGACTCGCCAAACGAGAGTCGCCGGGCGCAGACGCCGTCGGACCGCGCCGCGGGCCGGACGGCGGCGCTGCGCTACCTCGTGCCGCAGCGCTACCTCGCCGCCAACGAGGCGGCGCGGCGCGGCGCGCTCTCGCCGGCCGCGCTGCCCAAGGCGGCGCCGACGATCGCGCCCGCGCCCGCACCGACCGACGAGGCTGCCTACCACACCGCCGCCTCGATCGTCTCTGGCCTCTTCTCGCCCGGCGCAGAGGCGGAGGCCAAGGAGGAGGCCACGGAAAAGGAGGCCGAGGAGGCGGCCGTGCCCGAGGAGGCGGCGGCTGCACGGCAGGAGGCTGCCGCGGACGATGCCGCCGCCGAGGCGCCCGCCGCAACCTTCCCGCGGGCGGCCAAGCCGCGCTGGGCGACGATGCAGCGCCTGCTCGACGTCACCCTCGGCGCCAAGCTGCCGCACCTGCTCTGGGGACTCAACCCGCCGCCGCCGCCGGGCGCCCCGCCGGGCGCCCCGCCGCCGCCGCCCCAGCCGCAGCCGCCGGCGGGATCGCCGCCGCCCCTCGCGGGCCCGCCCCCGCCTGCAGAGGCGGCGGCGGAAGTGGCGGAGGCCGGCGGGGAGACCAAGCCCGAGAAGTGCGCCACTCCGCCGGTGGCCGCCGAGGCGGCGCCGCCTTCGGGAGGCGGCGCGGAGCTCGACGTCGCGGCCCTGCGCGTCGTCGACCTGCGCGCCGAGCTGCAGGCGCGCGGGCTGCCGACCAAGGGCCTCAAGGCGGAGCTGCAGGCGAGGCTGCGCGAGGCGCTCGCCGCGTAAGATGGTAAGCGACTCAGAGGGGCAGGGAAGCTGGGGTTGAGGGAGGGGGGTTGGCTCCCCTCCCAACAACCGCTCTCTGGATCTGGAGCTGCGCAGGTCATCAACCACCGATCGTCCCGGGCCTTCACATGCTTCAAGTTCAACGGAGGAGAGAGAGTTCGGAGATTGAAACAGAAACCCCGCGTTTTTTCTTCTAGTTTGCACCGCCGCCGCCCTCCCCGCTGGGGCAGGCGTGAGGCTGAGGGGGGTAGCGGTAGGGGGTAGCGGTAGGGTATTGGTGCAACCAGCCAAGAGCGCGATCTTTCACACTGGTGAGCGCGCCGCGTATACACGGCCCGCGCGAGACCGCCGCGCGCCGCTCGCGGTGCCCACACCATCGGGACCGGTCCGGAGCACCCAGCGATTGGAGCCGAATCGCCAGACTCGACCGCGCTGGCCTCCTGGAGCAACGCGCTGTCGCTCGCAATGACGCAATACGCGCGCTTTTTTTGCTCCATTTCTGTCCAATCGCTCGCGCCCAGACCACTCCCATCCATCGAGGGCACATGAGTAGCCTACGATTGACCCATCTCGGGCCGTCTCTATGCACTCGCAGGTGCATTTGGTCCTCCGCGTGCCCGCTCTCGCTGCCTCGAGCTGCAGAGATGCCGCAAAAGAAGAAGACCGCGCGCGGCGCGCACCTGGCCGCGCTGAACAAGCAGCACCCCAAGCGCGAGGAGAGCGCCGGCGACGCCAACGACCTCGAGTACGTCGACAAGCCGGACGACTCGTCGAGCTCGGGCGAGTCCGCCGGCGGCGACGCGCTGGTGCAGTCAACCCTCCCCTTCTCTGGTGCGAGCAGCGCACCAAAGAGGACGCAGAAGAAGCGGCCTCGGACGGCGGAGGGCCGAAGCCAGCTGACGCTCGCCGATTTCATCATGCCCCGGCTGGCTTCTCTCTCGGCCGGCGCCACCTCTCAGCCTCCCGCCGACGCTCCCGCCGACGCTCCCACCTCCTCTCCCGCCGCCCCGACGGAGGAGATGGCGCCAGCGCTGCCCGAGCCCGAGCCCGAGCCCGAGCAGCTGCCGCCGCCTGAGCTAGCCGCGGAGCCACCGGCCAAGCCAAAGCGCGGCCGCCCACCGGGCAGCAAAAGGCCGGCTTCTCTCGCACAGCAGCCGCCCTGCGGTGGTCAGAGGACTGGTACGTGGACTGAAGAGGCGGGAGACGCTTCTCTGAGCGAGGTTTGGTGCTCTCAGGAGCGCTATGCCAACGCGTGGTCGGCAGGGGCCGGCGGGGCAGGTCCGCGGCGAGCGCTTCGCCTGCGGCGCGCGTCTCTGGCCACTAGGGAGGGTCTGGAGGGCGATTTGGGGGTCGATTTTTGGGAAGTGATGCCAATCGAGAGATCTCGCCGAGCCCTTTTCGGTGGTGTGCTTGCGAGGTTTTTTTCGCACGGGAAGCATTTTTCGTACTCGCAAACGTGAATTAGTCGACTAGGCTGGTTGCACCAATATCATCGGCGGGAGGTTGCGGTTGGGACTTGGGTGGTCGCCCCCTACTCCCCTACCACTCCATTTGGGCGTGTAACGGACGTCTCTTGTGGGAGGCCAACCCCCAACCTCCTACGCTTCTACCCCTGAAAACCTTCCCTACCCCCCCAAAAAAAAACCGTGAGCATGGGCGCCGGCGCCGCCAAGCAGCCGACAGCGCCCCTGCTGGACCGGCTCACAGGCCGAGAGCCCATCCCATCGGACGATCGCTTCTGGCAGGAGCTGCTGGCGTCGGCCGTCTCTTTGCCCGCCGGCAGCTCTGTGGAGGACGTCACCGCCATCTCGAGAGCGTACTGTGCGGAGCTGGTGCGGAACAACCCACGCAGCGGCAACTTTGGGGCGCTGGCGGCTGCGATGGCCGAGCGGCTCGGCCGCGCCACAAGATCGGCGGCGACCGACACTGAGATGCAGCAGGCGTGCGGCGCCGTGTTCCTCCTCCGGACCTTCCTCAAGCACATGCTCGAGACGCTCGAGCCGGAGGACGTGGCCCTGCAGCTGCGGGGGCGCGACGTGGCGGCCGCCGCGCAGGCGCCCGGCTCGGCCTCCGCCGCGGCCGAGCCGGTGCAGGCCCGGCCTCCGGGCGGCTCCGAGGACACCGAGGCGGCTGTCGCGCGGTTGATTGTCGAGGCGCTGCTCGGCGCCGCGGCGAGTTGCCGGCTGGATGACGTGTCGTACGCGCTGCACATGGAGGTGCTCGCCGCGCTGACCGTCTGCCTCTCCGCCCAGCTCTTCTCCGAGCTCTCCGCCTCCGTGCCGCTGCCGACGGTGACGGCGGCGCTCGGCGCGCCTCCGCCGCTCGCAGAGGCGCTCGTCGCGCGGCTGCTCAAGCTCTACATCGACCAGCCGCCACGGCCAGCCAACCCCGAGGGGCGGCTGCTCGGCTCGATCGGCTCGATGCTCTGGCTACCGCTCCAGGACCGCCGCGCCGGCCTTGCGGTCCTGGGCGGAGCCGCGGGCGCGTCGCCACCCTGCCTCTCCCCTGTGTCTGCTGCAGGTCATCGCCTCCTTCTTCCGCGCGCAGGAGCCGCCGGTCGAGCTGGCGGACCGGTCGCTGCAGGTGCTGCTGCTGCTGACGCAGCACCTTCCTCCCGCCCTCTTCCCCGACCCGATGCTCTCCAACCACTTTCTCGCCGCGCTGCGGTGCGTGGGAGATGCCGACTCGGCGTGCGGCAGCGGCGCGGAGGCGGAAGAGGGGCGCGCGAGGCAGGGCGCGGGCTTCTCGGTGCGCAGGCTGCACGACGCGCTCTGCGCGCGGCTGCCCGAGGAGGCTACCCTCGTGCTGCTCTACCTCCTCCTCCACGGCAGCCCCGCCCGGATGCCGGCGGAGCTGTGAGAGGACCTGCAAGAGGACCTCGCCGCCCTCACTCGGCGCCCTCCGCTGTGGGCAGGCAACCGCGAGCTGCTCGACCACGCGCTCTCGCGCTCGGACCCGGACGCGCTGCTGCTGCCGCTCCTGAGGACGCTGGCCGGCATGCTCTCGCCCGCGTGTCGGCTGCGCACGTCGCGGGTCTGTGCACGCGCCTCGCCACACGCCGGTCGCTGCCCCACGACTGCGAGACCTCGAGACTCGACCAAGCCCATCCGACTGCCTGATCAGGTCTACATGCTGCTCATCATCCTGCTGATGCTCTCGCAAGACGGCGGCTTCGTCTCGACCGCCCACGCCGTGATGCTGCCCACGGTGCCGTGGTTCAAGGAGCGGCCCCCGCGCGCCCAGGCCAGGCGCGGCTCCGCCCGTGGGTGGCGTCCCGTCACCGCTCCCCGCGCGGAGTAGGAGCGGCTGCTGCACGACATCTCGGTCGGCTCCCTGCTGGTTGTGGTCCTCGTCCGCACCACCCAGTACAACCTCTCGCGCTTGCAAGACCTCTACGTGCAGACCAACTGCCTCGCGGCGCTCGCTAACATGGCGCCGTGCTTCAAGCGGATCCACCCCTACGCGGCGCGCGACACGCCGCACGAGGGCGGCGCGAAGAGGAGCCGCACACCTTCCCTCTCTCCCCCTCCGAGCCGTAGGCGCGCTCCCTCGTCACGCTCTACGACGTCCTCGCGCGCCGCTTCCAGAAGCTCGAGGCGAGGCGGGCGCACGCGTCGCCGGTCGAGCTCGCAGACAGCGAGGAGCTCTCGGACGAGGCTGCCGCTCGGCCGCCGCCGACCGGGCGGGGAGACGGCCCGCCGCCCGACCCCTCTTCCCTTGCGCCACGCAGGCGCTCGGCTCGGCGGCTGACTTCCTGCGCATGGCGCTCGAGGTGCTCAACGTGGCGCTGGCGGCGCAGGCGGGCCTGCAGCAGAACGAGCACCTCGTGTACGCGATCCTCGAGAGGCAGCGCGTCTTCGCGCCGCTGCGCGGGCACGAGCTCTTCTGGGACCTGATCGAGAACGTCTTTCGCGTGATTGACCACTTTGGTGCCGGCTTGAGCGGGCAGGGCCCGGCTTCCACCAAGGAGTCGCCGCTGCAGCTCGACAAGGACAGCGACCGGCGCACGCCGCCGCTGCCCACGACGGCGCGCTCCTCCTCGGGGAGCGACGGCGTGTGGAGCGTCGACCTGGTGCTCGCGCACATCGGGGAGGCGTCGCGCAGCTGGAAGGCGCGGCGGCACCTTCGCCCCGCGGCGTGGAGATGGGTCCCGCCCCCCCTCCCTCCCGCCACCCCGCCACCCCGCTCTCCCTCCGCTCCTCGCCGCAGGCCGACAGCCTCGAGCACGTGCCGGACCCGCGCTTCACGTACGAGCAGGAGAGCGCGCCGGAGGAGTTCTTCACGCCCTACATCTGGTCGCTCGTGCGCGACCGGAGCGGGCTCGTGTGGGACCCCCTTCGCGTCGTCTTGCTCGCCGAGGAGCTCGACGACGAGCCCGCGGACGCGCTGCCCGCGCTCTTGCAAGGCGTCGACGTCGTGGAGGACGTGGACGAGCACGCCACCGCGCCGGGGCCGCCCGCCTGAGAGCGGGGCTGCTTGCCCTCCTGCATGGGGCGGGGCGGAGAGGGCGACGCGGCCCACAAACTAGGGAGGGGCCCGCAGGCCTTATAGTGGCGCGTGCGCGGCCGATCTCGCGAATGTGCTCCGTTCTCAGATTCATCATCGGACGAGACACGCGAGATGCCATGACTGACGAGCGAGGTGCTAGAAGGGTCATTTTTATGTTCTATTTTTATGCTTCGAGACACACACACTCACACAGGTCACAGTCACACACGTGCCTCGTGTGCGTCGTCTCTCTGACTCGAGTCTCAACGTCGGTGGTACGACTCTACGTGAGTCACAGGCACACACTATGCCCCTCAGTCTCTAGACGAGACGAATGGATTCACGCCAATACAGGCGTGCGCCGACGGGCCTGAGCGAGGCTCGCAGTCTCGCCGCCCCCTCGGCCCACTCACTTTCTCTTGCGCTGCTTCTCCTCCCACGTCCGCTTCATCTGCGCGACGAGGGACTGCATCGCCTTCGCGCGCTCCGACTGCCCCATCGCCTCGTACACGGTGGCGAGGTTGGAGAGCGAGGCGACCGTGTGCGGGTGGTCGTGGCCTACAGCAGGGCGCCCGCCGATGAGAAGGAGACGCCGCTCGAGGCGCGGCGCGGCCGCCGCTCACCGAGCGTGCGCTGCTGGATCTTGCTCGCCTGCTCGAGGAGGGGCTCCGCCTCGCCGTACCGGCCGAGCGCCTGGTAGAGCGTGGCGACGTTGTTCATCGCCGTCGCGTACTCGTGGTGGTTGTGCCTAGTGGGGCCGCGGACACGTCGTGGACGCGTCCCGGACAGGCGGGAGGCGCCCTGCTGGTGGCTGTGCCCATACGACTCGCCGAGCAAGCGCAGCTGCTGCTCCGCCACGCTGAGGGCGTCGGCGTACCGCCCAGAGTTGAAGAGCCGGTGCACCTTTGGGGCGGGGGGTACGCGGTGCAGGGCCGGGGGAGGCGGCAGGCCACGGGCGGTGGGCTGCCCTAGGCCCCACTGCCCCCAGGCCCCACTGCCCCAGGCCCCACTGCCCTATGGCCCCCTGCCCTAGGCCCCCTGCCCTATGGCCCCCTGCCCTAGGCCCCACTGCCCCAGGCCCCACTGCCCTATGGCCCCCTGCCCTAGGCCCCACTGCCCTAGGGCCCCCTGCCCCGAAAGTCCCCTGCCCGAGCTGCGCGGCAGCACTCGCGCGCGCCTCGGTCCCGAGCCGCTTGGACTCGGCCGCCACGGCCTCGCGCTGCGCGGGGTCGAGCGGCGGCGGCGAGTCCGACGCCGCGGCGGCCGACGGAGGCCCCGCCGCTCCGCCCGCCGCCGGCTCGGGCTTCTTTCGCCCTCCAAACAGGCTCCAGCCTCCGCCGCCGCCGGCCGCGCCCCTCGAGGCGGCATAGTCGGGCACGCCGGGGGGAGGAGCTCCGGAGGCGGCGCCGCCGGACCCGCCCACCCCCGAGCCGGCCGTCCACTGCGCCACCTACAGGGGTCAGCTCTCTCCACTCCCGCCCCGCCGCCCCTCGAGGCGGCTTCCCGCCGCTCTAGAGCCGCGGCTGCCTCGGCGTCGCCCCACCCTCCTCCCGGCACGCCTCTCGCCGGCGGCGCCGCCGGCGGGGGGTTGGGCGTCGACGCCGCAGCATCGCGCGGCGGCGGCGGCGGCGGCGGCGGCGGCGGCGGCGGCGGCGGCGGCGGCGGCGGCGGAGGCGATGCGGCGGCCGCCCGGCCGCCGCCTTGTGCGGCCCTCGCCTGCGCGAGCTCGCTGCTCTCTGCGGGCTCGTCGCGCGCGAAGCCGGGCCGCGTGACGGAGCGCTTCTTCTTCTTCTTCGAGTCGTCGCCGCCGGCGCTGCCGCCGAGGCCGCCTCCCCCGCAGAGCGACTGGATCGCGCCGCTCCCGCCGCCGGCCGACATCGTCGGCGCCGCGGGTGGTGTGCAGGCGTAGGCGGACGACGCTGCCGCCGGCGACGGCTGTGCGAGGTAGCCAAAGCCGTCGCCCGGCACGATGCCGCCCGCGGTGGTGGCAGCGGCCGACGCCGCGCAGGATGGTAGCGGTGACTGCGCCGGTCCGCCACCGCCACCGCCATCGCCACCGCCCGCCTCGTCGAGCTCCGCCGAGAGGAACGCAACCTCCTCCTCGAGGTCGGCCTTCTCGCGGCGCAGCCTCGCAACCTCGGCCTTGAGCGCGTCCCGCTCCTCCCGGCACGCCTCCGCCGCCGTCAGCTGCACCCGCATCGCGGCGAGCTGCTGCTGCAGCCGCGCCGTCTCCGTAGCGGAGTCGGCCTGGGCGGCGCGCGCCTCCGCCTCCTCCTGCCACATCGCCGCCTCCTCCTGCGCCGCCTCCAACTCCGACTTTAGCTCGGCGAGCTGGGCCTCGAGGTCGGTCATACTGGCAGGAGTAGTAGTTTTCGGTCGATGTCGACACAGAGGCCAGCGGCGCCGAAAAAAGGAACATCGCGGAACTGCACGATCTCCAGGCGGGGGAGGCGGTCAGCGCCGCCTCCCTGCCGGTGCGGGCCGTCAGCGTACACTGTGAAGCCATGCTGCCCTCCCGAGGTCTCTGATAAGAGAAGGTTCCCGGAAGTCTCCACTTTCTGGCGCTTGGCTCGGTCCCCCGCGAAAGACACCTGCGGGGGCGCAAGCGCGCCGCTGACGCCCGAGGGGGCAAGGCGGCTCGCGGCAGCTTCCCATGCCGCCTCCGCCTCTGCGCCCTTGGGTGCGGGCCCTCGGCGGGAAGGGGCTTCACTCGCCGCTTCCGCCTCTACCCCCTGGTGAACCCCCGGGGTGGCCCTGGTGATGGGTAAGCGTGCCTCCTCCTCCCGCGCGGCCCTTGACCCCGGGCCGCCGGGAAGCTCGAGGCCCCCACTCATGTAGCGTCTCTTCACTCGGATGCTCTGAACGGGTTTTTACTTCTCACACCATTAAAGAAAGAAATACAAAAAGCCCCCCCACTTAAATCGGCCAGCCGCCACTCCGCTTGTGGCTCGGCCGATTTTGCCCGAGTGGTCAATTCCCCCCACACACTTACTTAGACGAGACACGATCTCTATCTCAACATATCTCCTTCGACGCCGCATTTCCAAGTTTGGTGCCCGAGTGGTCAACTATGACCAAACTTGGTCGGTTATAACCGATGGCGTCCACTCGATCGAACCTCGAGACCCCAGTTCGAGACCGAGTCTCGAATCTGTGTCATAATGCGGTTCGTATGCGTACGTCCGTGTGTGTGTGTGTGTGTGTGTGTGGTGGGGGGGGAAACACGTGTGAACACAGTGTGTGTGAATTCAGGACGAGCAGATCACCCCCTCAACGGTTAGCCGATGCACAGGCATCCTAACACGTTGCACCCCCTTAGCTCGTTCGCCATCGCCTTACCCTAGGAGACGACGAAAGCCCGCAACGGGTGGAATGTGGCCGCGGGAAGTGGCTTCGTGAACAAGTCAGCCAGCTGTCCCGTCGTCCGGATGTGGATGAGCTTCACCCTCTTGGTCTCTTTGACTTGCTCTAGGCGTCGGTGGCGCAGGCCCGAGGGTATATTCAGAGATACCCTCTACATTAGCCCACGCTGTGAAGCGCGCCAACCATTCGGCCATAAGCTGGGGCGTGATATTCTCCCCCTCGAGCCTTGGGATCCCGTCGTCGTACGTGCGGGTCACTCGAGCCGAGAGGGATGTGCGGGCGGCCCTGCCCTCGTCAGCCCTAGGTTCATTGCCAAGGGCGGAGGTGATGCTAGAGGTTATGCTCTGGGCTATGGCCCGATTGCTCTCCGTCATGCCACGGATGAGCTGGCCCATGTCGGCAAAGGTGGGTTGACCTCCGTCCTGCAGGCCTCCACGCCGAGCGTCGGGCTGGTCGCCAGACGGCTGATTGCCGCGCCTCTCGCCGGCGCTGGCACCTTCGCCTTGGGCGCGCCCCTGTGGTGCACCCCCTTGCGTGGACGGGGGCCCTTGTCCGAGCTCCTGTGGCGCACTCCCTCGCGTGGACGGGGGTCGATCGCCATCACCACGTGGCGGGTCACTCTCACTCGTACCGGCGGCGGGAGGTGAGCCCTCGGCGGGCTGGTTGAGGTCCAACGCGCTTTCTGCTGCCGTGTCGGCGGGCGCACCGCCTGTCCCGAGTGCCCCCTCGCCAGGTTCGGCCGCTTCATCCGACGTCGCAGTAGCAAGCTGTCGGATGAGTCCCGGTGCACCTTGCTGCTGCTCGCCACTGGCGCCATCGGGGGGCTCGTCGCCGTCGTTCGCGCGTGACGCCGCCCTAGTGGTCATTGTGTTACCCCAAAGGGCATGGCAGAGCGCATTCCATGCTCGGTGGCTGAGCGCCCAAAGATAGTAGTAGAGCGTCCCAGTCGGCTCGGCACTGAGTGCCGTCGGGGCGCCGTGTGGCAGAGGGCCGTGTGACGGAGAGGTGGGCGAGCGATTCATGCCACGCGGCCGAGTAGGCGGGCTAGGGTACGCCTCTCCTTCTACGCGCCACACCCCATAATCGGGGCCCTTGGGGGGGGTCGGGGTGCGGCGTAGATCGCTCGAGACGAGGAGGGTGCTCGAGTGTCGTGTATAGTGCATCGAGTCCGCCCGTCGCTGGTCGCGTAGCGCTGTCGGGCGCCAGACCGTCTGTGGCTCGATAGGCCGGAAAGTGTGGCGCCTCTCGGGCCATGCGCGGTTCGAGTGGTCGGGCGAATACCTTGGCTGCCCCCAATTTGAACGCGGGCGCCTCCAGGGGCCGGACTCGTGGCGCCGGTCACTTGTTCGCTGAAGGCGCCAAAAAATGGTTGATTGGCGATTGCGCCGCCTTGCAGGCGTCACGTAGGGTGGCTGACCATCATAGTCGGCCCCGTTGTACCCGCCGTCGTGGTACGGATCTGTCATGAAGACCTTGATCGATGCTGGCTCCCGAATGTGGGTCCAGGTCGCACAGGTTGGGTCGGCGCAAGTGGCCATCCCGAGGGTCGAGGGGGCTCCATCTACAGGCGAGAGGCCTGCGGCGGTCTCTTTCTGAGAATAGCCCTCTCTGCATGAACAAATCCCCTCACACGACGCCAGAGCACCACAGTCACAGACTGGACCAGTGGCACACGACTTTGGAGGGGACATGGGAGTACGAGGCGCGCTCGCCTCTAAGGCGGAGACTGCTGCTGCTTCTGCAGACTGTCTCGATGGTGTCGCTGCCTCATCTCGGAAATCGAGCGCGCGTGCGCGCAGCATGCTGCTTGGTGCCTCCTCGGGGAGGAGAGACGCGTTGCGAACCTCCCCATCAGGCGTAGGCTTCCTCGGACACGTCGAAGATGTGGTCCGAGTCGGTCCTGCGAGGGGGAGTTTGTGAGCAGGGCATCTAAGGTGAGCATCTAGCGGGCACGCGTACGGTTCAATCGTGAATTCGAAGCCATCCGGGTCCGCCAGCACGAGGCGGAGCATGTACTTGACCGCCAGGCGCCACATCTTGGCGAAGTAGAGGCCTCCCAGCTCGCCTCGCGTGCACTTGGTGAAGGTGGGCAGAGCGGCCGTGTGGGGTCCGTCCACGGAGGTAGCCGGGTCCTCAAACGACTTGCCCGCCAGCGTGCCAAGCTTGAGGCCGGTGGTGAGGTAGGCCTTGATCATCATGCGCGCGTAGAGGGCCCACTGGAAGATCTCCTTGCCCTCGATCGCGCCGTGCTCGATCGACAGCGCGACCTGCTCAACGGGGCCGCGGAGCACGGCGAGGAACTCTTGGATGTCGTCCAGCGTGAGCTGGATGGCGCCGCGGCCGGACATGCAGGCCATCAGGAGCGCGTAGTGGAGGATGTTCTTGGCCCAGCCGCGCGCCTCCTTGCCCGGGATGAGCCCCTCGGGCGAGTAGGTGCCGATGCGCGACTTGGCGCCGATCAGCTCGTTGCTCGGGTCGCAGCGGAACTCCGCACCCTCGGGCGGCACGGGCTTGTTGGCGGTGATGAGGCCGCTGACCTTCTCGAGGTTCGAGACGTCGGTCGCGGTGGTCACGAGGTTGGAGTACATCTCCCCGAGGACCGCGTCCGCGGTGACGACGAGGGAGCGCCGCTGGCTCTCGGCAATCCGCCGGTCCGCCGCCTTGGCCGTGGCGGCGGTGGGCTCTGGGCCCACCTTTTGGCGCGCGAGAGGCTTGTCCTCGTCCTCGTCGGTCCCCTCGCCCGACTCCTCGTCCGACCCCTTGTACGGCTCCTCGGGCGGGCTCAGCCCGCAAGTGGTGGGCTCACCGCCCTGGGATGACGGGCAGAGCTGGTGGTCAGTGCCGCAGCTGACGGAAGCATCCTTGGAGGCGGGGAGCAGGGTGGCCTGCACGACAGGCTCCTCCGTGGGGTCCGCCACGGGCGGCCCAGGTGAGGGCGGCTCGACAGACGACCGCGAGTTGTTGGAGGTGCAGGTGAGGGCGAGCATAGGGCGAGTAGGGAGCAAAACGCCCGCTGGAGGTGGCAAACCGACTTTACCATAGGATTCGCCCGAGTTGTTAGCATCCGTAATCATCTCCGCTGGTGGTGAGGGTGGAATCGAGACATTTTCGCCCTCAAATGCGCCCGTCTCGACCTTTTCGTCCACCACTATGCCCGCCACCAGCATCGCATTTTGCCGCGTGAGAGCGGGCACATCTGGAGCGGGAGATTCGGTCCAATCAGGCGACGTGATGAGTGGGCAATCAGGCAAATTGATTACGTCCTCGAGGTCATCTCGGAACTTGCTGTTCCAGTGGCCCATTTCGCGCGGCCTGTTCACCAGCTCTTCGAGGAGCCATTCCAGGTCGGCGATCTGCACGAGGGGGCGCCATGCCATATCCTTCAGGTAGGCGCCCGCCGCCTCGAAGTCATCAGAGCAGGTGACGACTCTGAACGCACTGACATCGAAGACAGAGAGTAGCGCGGCTGTGCCAAGCGCCGTCGTGCGAGAGTCAGCCTCGGCAAGCTGCTCAAGGAGGAGGGGCCGGCTAAGCAGGCGTGCGTGAATGGCGGCAGCGAGATAGCCCTCCATGGCGGCCCAAATCGTAGAGCGACATGTGGCATAGGTGCAACCATGCGCATCGCCTCCTCCGCAGCTTCCATCGCAGAAGCTGTGGTGAATTACTCGCAATGCCTCTGCGTAAGCCATGCGGCGGCGGTAGCCAGGGGCGCCGATTCCCTTGTGCTTAAGGTAGGCGCGTTGGATGATAATGGCCGCGGCGTGGAAAGGCGCATACTCGATCACAGAGTACCATGGCTCGAACACCTGCTCGGGGATACACTCCTCCGCCAGCTTCGAAGCTGGCGTCCCATAGTCGAGAATGGCGGTATTGCCACGAGGCTTGAGCCCAAAGCTGCGCAAAACACATTCGAGGTAGTCGCCATAGCATGGGCAGTACCACGAGGTCACATGCGTGGAATCGCCCTGGCAAGACTTGTCGAAGAAAGGCGGCAGGTGGTGGCCCGAGCGCATAGCCGAGCGCGTGCACGGGCCATTCAGGAAGAGCAGGTTGGGGTCGAGCGCGCCGTTGAGGGTGAGGGCGGCGTGCAAATCGTCGCGGGGGACGCCGTCCCGCCACTTTTCTTGCAACGCAATATTGGCCTCACGATGCATGTACCAGTCCAGGGATCGATCGTACCCGCATGCCTTCCATGTCTCGAAGGCCTGGGCCGCTAGTCGCTGGACGAGGGGCGGGTCATTCGCGCACAATACCTCGGTAAGGCGCTCGTAGAGCTCGGGCGAGACGGAGCCAAGGGGAACGAGGTCGCCGTGGCTCTCCGTCCAAAGTCCTTGCCCGTTGTGGCCCAGCCAGAAGGCGTCAAAGTCAGCAATCGACTCGACACCTACCCATTGTCCTCGTAGGTAGAGCCCCATGAACCGTGGTCCAGCCTTCTCAAGGAACTCAACAGGGATCGAAATGGGGCAGTCCGAGAAACGGCCCTTGAGTCGGGGGTCGTCTGGGATAACGCCAGCGAAAGACCTGGTAGGGGTCACCGTATCGATGCGTGAAACTGACTTGATTATTGCATATTCTCCGGAGAATTCGCTCTCACGCGTAATCTTGACGCGGTCGCCAATCTCCAGCCCTGAGCCGATTGAGACGCCGTGTGTCGTGTCCGGTCGTGCAGGCGCGAGGGGCGAGAGGCTCGTATGCATGGCGATGACCTCGCCTTGCTCGCCCAAAGGGTCGAGCGGGTTGTCGAATCCTGCGCCCACAGCTAATTCAGCCAAGCTCGGACGCTCGTCGCGGTCGGCAAAATGGTCGACAAAATGGTTGAACTCCTCTGACGTCGGCATCGGCCAGTCACCGTCGAAGGAGTCGGCAGGGTTTGCAGTAGCGACCCCGCCGCTACCAATCTGCACGATCTCCAGGCGGGGGAGGCGGTCAGCGCCGCCTCCCTGCCGGTGCGGGCCGTCAGCGTACACTGTGAAGCCATGCTGCCCTCCCGAGGTCTCTGATAAGAGAAGGTTCCCGGAAGTCTCCACTTTCTGGCGCTTGGCTCGGTCCCCCGCGAAAGACACCTGCGGGGGCGCAAGCGCGCCGCTGACGCCCGAGGGGGCAAGGCGGCTCGCGGCAGCTTCCCATGCCGCCTCCGCCTCTGCGCCCTTGGGTGCGGGCCCTCGGCGGGAAGGGGCTTCACTCGCCGCTTCCGCCTCTACCCCCTGGTGAACCCCCGGGGTGGCCCTGGTGATGGGTAAGCGTGCCTCCTCCTCCCGCGCGGCCCTTGACCCCGGGCCGCCGGGAAGCTCGAGGCCCCCACTCATGTAGCGTCTCTTCACTCGGATGCTCTGAACGGGTTTTTACTTCTCACACCATTAAAGAAAGAAATACAAAAAGCCCCCCCACTTAAATCGGCCAGCCGCCACTCCGCTTGTGGCTCGGCCGATTTTGCCCGAGTGGTCAATTCCCCCCACACACTTACTTAGACGAGACACGATCTCTATCTCAACATATCTCCTTCGACGCCGCATTTCCAAGTTTGGTGCCCGAGTGGTCAACTATGACCAAACTTGGTCGGTTATAACCGATGGCGTCCACTCGATCGAACCTCGAGACCCCAGTTCGAGACCGAGTCTCGAATCTGTGTCATAATGCGGTTCGTATGCGTACGTCCGTGTGTGTGTGTGTGTGTGTGTGTGGTGGGGGGGGAAACACGTGTGAACACAGTGTGTGTGAATTCAGGACGAGCAGCGGAAATCTACATACACTGAAAAAGAAAGCGGCGGTCCGTTGTGGAATGTTGGCTCGTTGGGACGCTGCCAAAGCCCCCTTGTTGCCGACGTACCCCCACCACATCGGAGACCCTCGCCCTTGCTGAGCCACCGCTCAGCACTGGACACGCCCGCTGCCGCGGACGCCCTCGCCTGCATGGACACGCCCGCTGCCGCGGACGCCCTCGCCTCGCCGCCCTCCACGACGAACAAGGCGCCGCGGCGTGCCTACGACGAGGCCAGCGCTGCAGGCAGCAGCGACAGCGAGACCATCTCGGTCGGAAGCCTGACCTCCGGCTTTGAGGTCCGCGCCGAAAACAGCACACGACCAGACGCGACCGTCCTCACCGTGCGAGGGCCCGACGTTGACGGCGTCCTCGCCTCCATGATCGCTTCGCTGACCATCTCGGGCTGCAAGCTGCTGGAGGTGCACGCCAAGACGCGAATCTTCGAAGACACGCTGGAGGACACCTTTGTGGTGCAGGTCAAGGACGGCGGGGGACAGGTCACGGACGACCACCTCCAGGACGTCTCGCAGCGGCTGCTCGCCGCGACCAAGGACCCGCTGCAGGCGCGCTCGCCCGAGGCTGGCGCGGCGAGGCTCCAGCACGATACGTCCGGGCCGGCGCCTGCGTGGGAGGACCGCGGCACCGCGGCGACCCTGCCGAGGGGCCGCCGGCTGACGCTCCTCGCCTGCAAGAACTGCCAAAAGGCGCGGACGGCCTGCACGGACCAGCGGCCGTGCCAGCGGTGCACGCGGCTCGGGTTGCAGTGCGAGGGGGAGGCGAAGCCGGTGCGCCGCGCCTGCGACCAGTGCAAGCGGGCCAAGACCAAGTGCGACCTCAACGACGCGATGCCCTGCGCGCGCTGCGTCCGGCTCAAGCTCGAGTGCACTGCGGGCGGCAGCTGCAAGAGGCCACCCGGCCTCGAGGAGCCGCACGGACCGCCGCAGTGGCCCGTCGCATGCGCGACCGCCGCCGCCGCCGCCGCCGTCCAAGCCGCGGCGACGACGGGCCCTGCGATGACTGCGACAGCTCCGACCCTGGCCACGGCGGCGGCTCCCGCGCTGGCGGTGGCGGGTCCGGTGGCAGGCTCGGCGGTGAGGACGGTCGACCTTCCGGCGGCGGCGTGCCGCGACAGCCTCACCGCCGGCGAGGCGGCCGCCGCTCTGGACAGGCTCCTCGACCAGCCGCCGGCGCACGAGCTCACCGTCGACGAGCTCTCCCTGCCCGCCCTCACCGAGCTCGCGCTGCCCGCCCTCTTGCCTCTCGACAAGGCCGCGTCCCCGGCGGACCCCGCCGTCCCCATGGAGATCCTGAGCGACGAGGGACTCGACGCCTTCCTCTCGGCTGCGCTAGGCGGCTCTTGACGCACCCGAGCGTGGGATGGCGATCCGGGTCTAATTATTGCTGCCCCCCCACCCCCTCCCCTCCCCCCTCCCCGCGGGCTCTCTCGGGCGCCCCACCCTCTGAGTGCGATCGGGTTGAGGACTACTCGAGAGCCCGCTTAGATCACCGTTGTCCAGTGCTGTCTGTGTCTGCTGTCTCGCGTTGTGATGTGTGGGCCTCGGTCGCTCGCCCTCTGAGTGCGATCGGGTCGAGAATCGAGGCCGGGCTCTGCTGCGCAGCTCAAAATCCAAAATATGTCAAATGGCCCCGCACAATCGTTTACAAGACGAAGGAGATATCTGCTCTCGAGTCTCGTGTCTCTCGAGGGGAAGAAACACAAAAACTCATAAGCGGAATGGAAGAACTGCACACAGAGGCCGACAACAAAAACAATCCAGAAGAGAGCAAAGAGGCGCCCCCCCCAAGGGCCCAACTTGCCCCCAACCGCAACCCCGCGCGCACCGCCACCGGCTCCGGGCGGTACACACACACACACACACACACACACACACACACACACACACACACAACAACGTTAGAGTTGTTTGGTATTGCTAAAAATCTCTCTCACACACACACACACACACACACACACACACACACACACACACACACACACACACACACGGTTTTTGCTGCTCTCCGCTGCCGTCGTTCGCGCTAGCTGGCCTGCGAGGGCCGTCGTCCTTTCCGCACAGGGATTTTCAGAGGAGAAGGAGGGGTGTTTGAGGGTGTTAGCCTCTCCCATCTTTGCCCTCGGGCTAAAAGAATTTTACGGCGATAAGCAAGAAAGAATTTTACAAAGTCCCGTGCCCAGTGTCGAGCAAGAAAGAAAATAGAGGATAGAGCGGCAAGGGAGGGATGGGAGGACGGCACGCCGCCACCACACAGGCAGGGATTTTAAGGAGAGGAGCCCTCGAGAGCTGTCTGAAAGAGATGTAGGACCTTCCTTTTAGGTCCGCCTCTCACACCCTCACTGTCTGCGATGTGAGCTTCTTGGTTCTTATCAACGTAGGATTCCTAGCTGTGAAGGACGTATTTTCTTCTCAATAACAAGGCTGTGACCACGAAACCGAGACCCCTACCCCCCGCCCCGATCCCCCCACCCCCTTGCTCCCCTCCCCCCCCGGGACGGCCGAAGAGAGGCGCCCGTGGGGACCCCGCAATTCCCCTCCCCCCTCGGAGGGGGCCGGACGGAGGCGTAACCCGAGGGCCCCGCTCTTTCCTTCGCATAGCGGCCACTCTTCGGATCGCTGGTCGAGCGACCCGGGGGATGCCCCGCGCGCCTGACCCAGGCGCGAGAAACGAATCTGCGAGGCGCGGCCGCTCATGCGGCCCGATGGGGAGGAACGGGGCGGACTACGGGGATCGGCTTCTTACACCGCCCTTCCTTGCAGCGAGCCCCCTCCAATCCACCCGCGCTAGGTCCAGAGCGGCGAAGGGGAACTCCCGACGAACCCTGGAACTAGGCCAGTCGGAGAAGGAAGGGGCAACTCCGTGCACTGACGGTCGGCCGTCAGAAAACACGCCTGCGTGGATCGCGTCACACCAAGCCTCGCTACCAACGCGGCCCAAGGATATCCACCTCGAGTACCTCGAGAGAAGGCTGTGAATCGGAAAATCTCGGACGGCGACTTGCGCTGCTGGTCGCCGCTACAGATGCTTTTCGGACCGCTAGGGACAGGTGCCGTTGGTGTCGTGCTGCTCGCCGCCGCGCTCCACCTCTACACGAGAGTCTCCGCCGAGCTGCAGCGGCGGCGTGGCGGCGGCGGCGCACCCCAGCGACTCCCTTCTGTGGCAGAGGAGGAAGGCGAGGCGAGTGTGGCCAAGTCTGCGCCGCTCGAGTCCGAGTCCGCGGCCGACCCCTCGGCCGATCTCGAGCCACGTTGCGGCGTGCTGCTCACGGCGGCGCTTGGCGGCGCGGGCGCCTTGTACCTGCTTGCATTGGCGGGCGTCACCTCCGCAACAGCGGGCGGCACACTCGTCCATTACTCTCTCACCGCGTACCACCCTCGCCCGCCGCCGCCGCCGCCGCCGCCGCTGCCACCGCCGCCGCCGCCACCGCCGCCAGCCCCGCCGGTGCCGTCGCCACCACCGCCGTCGTCGCCTATGCCGTCGCCCCCGCCGCCCCCGACGGCGCCCCCGCCGTCGCCGCCACCGCCACCGCCGCCACCGCCGCCGTCTGAGCCGCCGCCTTGGCGCGTCGCCAGCTTCTTCGTCGTCGGCGATTGGGGCTTCGACCCGGGCATGCACGTGTGGCGCGGCGCCGAGGCGGTCAAGCAGCGCTGCCAAGGCCTCATCGCGGAGCACATGCGGCGCGAGGCGGAGGAGCGCGGCGACGTGGCCTTCGTTGTCAACGTGGGCGACTCCTTCTACCCGAGCGGCGTGAGCAGCGTCGACGACCCGCAGTGGGAGACGCGGTGGGCGCAGCAGTACGCGCAGCTGCCTCGCCCGCGGAGAGGCGCCAACGCCGGCGAGGTTGTGCCGTGGTACAGCGTGTATGGCAGCCACAGCCTCTCGCAGCGCGACCTCGCGACTGATGAAGTAGTCATCGTGAGAGTGGTGAATCAGGCAACCACGACCTCTCGCAGCACGACCTCGACTGCGCGTGCCGCGCGGACGCGACGCGGTGCAACCAGGTGCGGGCGCACGGCGCGCAGCGCGGCGCGCCAAACATGAGCTGGTATATGCCCGACGTCTCCTACTTCGCGACGCCCGTGCGCGGCTCGCCGCTCGAGCTCGTGGCGCTCGGCTTCACAGCGCGGGGCCGACGTGTGCAGGTAGCCGTCCCTGAGCCTCCCGGGAGCCCGCCCACAGGCGCTCGACTTCAACGCGGCCGACGCGTCCAAGCTCTGCACGTGGGTTGCCTGCGCCAAGGAGAGGTGCGACTCGTGGGACGAGCAGTTCGACGCCGCGCGCGGCTGCACGCAGGCGGGATGCGCCGCCAACCTCAGGCAGCGGGAGGCGGCGGCGGCGGCGCTGCTGCGCGCTCGCGTCGACGCGGCGGCGAGCGAGGGCCGCTCGCACCTGCTCGCCTTCTCTCACTACCCGGTCGACTACTTGCGCGGCCGGTGGAGCGCCGCCGGCGACGCGCTGCACGGCCGCTCCGGGACAGCCGCGAGACAGAAGCGTCTTCACGGCCACGCGGTGCGGATATAGGCGAGACGCTGGGCATGCTGCGCGACCGGCGCGTGGCGCTGGCGTACTTTGCAGGCCACCGTCACGGGACCGAGAACAACACTGGCCCGTTCTCGGAGCCGGCGCAAGCCTTCACGCTCGGCGGCGGCGGCGGCTGGAGCTGCGACGGCGACCAGGGCTACCTCGTGGGCGAGGTGCTGTCGGACGGGTCGTGGGACAATTTGCGGCTCGTGCGGATGGAGCGGAGCGAGTGCTGCGGCCCGCCACGCTCCAAGGCGGCGTGGGACGCTGGCTGCCTCGCGCATTCGGACTGCGACCAGGCGCGGATGAATTGGGACTTCAACTCCTGCTGCGCGGCGTACGATTGCGAGCTCAACGGCAACTGCGGGGCGGCGGGGGGCGGCGGGGGCGGCGGGGGCGGCGGGGGCGGCTGCAGTGGCAACGGCATCGACCCGTGGGGCGGAGGCACATATGTGGACTGCTGCCCAGGGATGGTCAAGATGTTGGAGGGTGGCCAAGAGGTGTGCCGAGTGTAGTCGCTATTCGGTGTTCTCTCCTCTGGACACAGCGGGGTGTACTGTGTGTATGAGAGACAGACGAGAGTGCGGGTGCGTCATGCACAGAGGGTCGTGTACTTGCGGTCGTGTGCGAGTGGCTATTATTCGGCTTTTTATGTGTCTCTTACCAACCAGAACCACGAGCAGAGACCAGAGTACGCATCTTACTGTTAAAGATAGAAAGGGGTCAAAACCAAAAAGATGAGCGACCACGGTCCACGGTCCACGGTGGCCGCACCGTGGGGACCAGCGAGAGGAACAGAGGTCGCCCCCGCCCCCTAGCCCGCCCCCGGCCCGGCCGTGCCCCGACGCACACGGGCGACCTTCGCTTGGACGGCCCATAACTGAAGGAAAATGCCCAGCGCCAGACTGCTCAACGTATCTGATGTACATGCACTCTCTCATCGCGTGTCTTTGTCCATATATCTGCGAGTCGTACCACGTAGGCTCTGCTTAGGAGATGACACAACCGCAGCCCTCGGCGGCCGGCTCGGCGGGTCCCAACAGAGCGGAGAAGGCCTTCTTCTCCTGGCCCTCCTTCAAGAGCGTGACTGGCAGCACCGACGGTCGCTTCCACTTCTTGAGGTACAGCTGGGCGAGCATAAAGGCCGTCGTGCGGGCTTCCCTTGGCGCGTCCTTGCCGATCCAGCAAAAGCACTGGAAGCCGTCGTCGAGCAGCATCACGCGCGAGCTGTCAAGGCGCGAGGAGGGCGGTGCCTTGCCCCTCCACACGACGCGAAAGTGTGGCGTGTCTCCGTCGGCCGTCACCTTGAGCAGAAGCGGCTCGAATGCCTTGACGTCGCCGTCGCTCCCGCCGGCGGACTCGTCCTGGATGGAGATTCGGCTCACTCTGAGGCCCAAAAATCGCCGCTCGCCAGGCAGGTGCCGCCAAAAGCCGTGATTGGAGCACTCAGGGCTCGTGCCATCACCCTCGGGCGTGCCCTCATCGAGCACCTTTGTGTCTCGGTGCTTGTCCTGCTGGAGCAGCCGGCAGAGCTCAGAAGCCTTGGCTCTCTCGTGGGCGCTGGACTCCTTGCCGTTCCATTGGTAGATGCACTGCGGCGTGTCCATCACGTAGCAGTCCCCGGAGTTCATCACCGTTCTGCTGAGCTTAACCTGTCGCATGGCGACGTTGCCAGCCAAGCCCTTGATCCGCAGCAGCACGGGCTCGCGCTCTGCAGCATCGTCGACGTGCTTGAAGCCGGAAGCGGTGCCTCCGGCCAAGTAACGCAGTCCCTGTGGGAACAGCCTCGCGAAACGATCGCTCTCGCCGCCCTCGACCTCGCGATACTGCACTGCGCGGCCGCTCAGCTTGTCGTCAAGCTCCACCGTCTTGTAGGCCGCCGTACCGTATTCGTCTTGGGTCGATTCGCTGCCGATCCAAAAGTGCACGTCATGGTCAAGCTTCATCGAGGCTGGGTCCTTGAGGTATGTGCGCAGCACAATATACGAGTCGCCGCGGTGAAAGCGACCGTACTTGTACTTGGGCCACGGCACAACCTTGAACTGCTCCATGCGCCAGACTTGTATTCCCGCGCTTTTCCCAACGTCGATCCATTGCGGCTCACCGTCGGCTGCGGCCGCCTTGCACTTCCTCTCGATCTCTGAGCCAAAGTTGGCCAGGTTTGTGTCCTGCCAGTCGAGCTGCTTCGGCATCACCTCTCGGCCGGCGGCTTGCTTCAGCTGGGTCGCTTTTAGGCCTTTCAAAATAAGAAATGAAAGCAAATAAATAAACAAAGAGCTGGACAAATACCAAATTCCAAATCGCAAACATAGAAACCCAAACACAGGCGGCGACGTGGCATACGAGCTCATAGGAGAAGGAGGCGCACAACTTCCAAGGACGCACGAGCGAGCGAGACAGCAGCCATGACGATGATGATTCAGCGCGTGAACGCCAACTCGCCGGCACAGGCCGTGAAGAGCCGCGCACGCGGGCCGACGATTACGCAGCTGCGTGCCAAGCAGGCCGCTCTTGTGGCCGCATCCGAGCTCGCGGCTTCGAGTGATGCCGAGGCGAGTGTGGTAAGGCACTTGCCCGTTGACGAAGCCAAGCGGTGGGCAAGCGGCAAAGGCCGCAAAGTGGGCTTCGCAAAAGCACGTGCCACCTTCCGTGGCGGCGGCACGGGAATCGCGGCGACGGCGGCGAAGCACGACTCGCTCATCAAGAAGGCCCGCTGGCGCGGTACCGAGCAAATTGCCCGGGAGACTCCGGCGGGCTCTGTGTCCGTAGTGACGATGCCGCACCGCAAGGACTTCGCCTCCGACAAGGAGCACCAAGTGAAGTTTAACCTGTGGCTGAAGGCGGACGGCTTCAAAGGCAAGGTGCGCAACGGGGCGGTGAGGGAGCCAGAGCACCTCTCCTCGCTCGGGCTCACGCGTGTGTGGATCCATGTAGGAGCGGCAGCAGCGGGTGGCCGCGCAGTACGAGAAGCGCGTGCTGACCATGAACGCGTGGGGCCAAAAGCAGGGCTACCCGCCGTTCTGCGAGGTGGTGACCCAGGAGGACGGCTTGGCCAATCTGCAGCTCATTGTTGACAAGGTGCGCGGCAAGGAGGTGCCGCGAGTGCCGGCGTGCCCGCCACTCGACGCGAGCCTCCTCTTGCTCGGCGTCGTCGCGCTGGGCGACCGCATCGACCGCCCCAGTCAGCGCGCGTGCGACCGGCTGCTCCGCCTCCGCCGCCGGCGCGTCGGCCTCCGCCGTCTCGACCGCCTCGGTCTCCTCGACAGCAGGCTCAGACTTGCGGCCCGAGAGGTAGTCGACCACCTGGCCCAAGATGGAGGACGACTTGACCGGCTCGGTCGGCGGAGGCACCTCGTCGGCCGCCTCGGCAGGCGCCTCCTCGGCTGCGCTGTCCTCGGCCGCGGCCTCTTCCTTGGGCTCCTCTGCAGCGGGCTCCTCCGCCTCGGGCGTCACGGTCGAGGGTGCAGCCGCCGCGTCGGCGGCGGGCGTCTCGGCGGGCGCGACGTCGGGCGTGGCGACGACGGCGGCGGTGTCGGCGGGAGCGCTGATCTGCTCCGGCTGCATCACCGGGTCGGCGATGTTGCTGGTCGACTTGGAGCTGCAGGCCCCCATGGTTCGCTTGCGTGTGTTGTGATCGGCTGACTTCCTTGGGTCGTGCGTCCTTGGGAACGTGGCAAGTTTGCCGGCCGCCGACAAGTTTTTTGGGCCCTGCTGGGGGTGGACTCCTTGAATCCCCCCCCCCCCCCCCCCTTTCCCAAGAGAAGGGGGAAACCCCGGCTGGTGTGCCCTGAGCCCCTGACCAGGCTGCCTCCTTCCTCCATCGTGCATCGACGCGAAACACTCGAAAACACAGATGCCACACAAATCACGTGTGGGAGAGAGCTTAAAAGGCTACACACGCGACACGGGCACGGCTCGCGCTAGCTCAATCGCTGCCCGAGAGAGTTCTTTTTATTTATCTCCTCCAACTCTTGCTTGAGGGGGTTTGTCGGGTTGCGAGAAATGAGTAATGAGTAATGAGTTATTATGAGAAGGTGCTATGCTTTTTTGGCATTTTGGGGTACAACCGGAGTCCGGAGTCCGGAGGGCGAGAGAGTTCACGGCATCGCTCATGGAGATGTGCATCACACGTGGCGGCCGAAACAACCGCAATCCCGTAGAAATCGTCAAGACACTTGGACGACTGTGACATCCTCACCTCTCGCTCACCGCTCCAACTCTCGCAACCATGGGCAAGGGCAAAGGACAGAAGGTCATGGACTTCGACCTGGCGACCGCGATGACGAAGAAAGAGTGCGCTCGCCCGCCCGCCCGCGCGCCCCCTCGCGCGCCCGCCGAACGCTTCGGCGCCGAGCGCTGCTCTGCTACTCAGCCGCGCCCCCCCCCCCCGGCAGGAACCGCAAGCTGACCAAGATGGAGTGCATGGTCAACTACCACCTCGCCCGCGTGCCCTTCTGGAACGGCAAGGAGTCGGTCGCGATGGCGAACGCCGAAAAGTGCGCTGCGCAGCCCCAATCCCGCTGTCTGCCCTGTGCCGGGCGCGGGCCGCGCGCGCGAGCTCATGCCCGCTCCCCCCCTGCCAGGACCCGTGAGATGATTGCCTCGCTCAAGACCAAGGTGAAGAACCGCTGGGAGGAGCAGAACGGCATTTACTAGTGGGAGATCCCCGCCAAGCGAGCGCGGCGCGCAGGGAGTCCGGAGAAGTCGCCGCGGGGCCTTTGGCCGCGCGGCGGCGCCCGTTCCTGCGTGCCGCACCTGGCGCTCGATCGTGACGGGCGTGTGGGGAGTCCGGAGAAGCCGCCGCGGGGTCTCGGCCTCGCGGTGGCGCCCGTTCCCGTGCGCTGGAAAGTCCGGGCATGTGCCCTTGCTTGTGCACCCTTCTGTTTGCATGTTATCGCGATGTCTCTGTGGATATGTGGCTGAGCCCGGGCCTTTAGGGAGGCCCCGTGGTGGTCGGAACGGCATGACGTGTACCAGCGAGGGGGGCGTGCGCAGTGTGCGATTGCGCGCTGTGTGCGGTAGCCTCTGAGCTCTGATGTGAGCTCTGTTTGACGGCTGGTTGTCTCAGTCCGGCGTTAGTTGAGATATCGTGTTGTATTGATCTTTGTATAGCATTTTGTAACTTGTAGTGTCGCAGCGTCGAGCGTCCCCCATCAACCACACCGGCACGCAGCCTCGCACCTCGCAGCACGCAGGCACACCGGTCTGTGTGCTCTGAGAGCTCTGTAGCAGCTAGCACCACCAGCAACAGCTTGACCTTGTGCTTGTCGCTTGTGAGTTGTGTGTGTGGCTGTGGCTGTGCGCTGTGCGCTGTGCCGCACAGGCTGTGGGCCTGTATCTCGCCTGTGGGACTTCCCTCTCTTGGACGTTGGAGTCACCTGCCTGGCAACCCTGTCCTAGACCCTGTCTGCACGTCTCGCGCGCGCGTGAACAGGGCTCCAGGCCCCAAATGACGTGTGAGTGTTAGAGTTGTTTGGTATTGCTAAAAATCTCTCTCTCTTGGAGATGGAGTGCAAACTTGGCAACTCACACAGCCCGCCCGGACCTACCTAACAGCAAGACGCACAAGCACAGACAGTCGAGAGACAGCCACCACAGTCAGAAGTTGGTAACTCCCACCCAAGATAGACCCAAGAACACCTCGAACGAAAGCCCGCGCAGGCGCCGTGCGCAACATCCAGCACGCAGTGGCGGCGGCGGCGGCGGCGGCGGCGGCAGCCGTCGCCGCAGCCATTGCCATGCGGCACGCTCTTCGCTGGTGGAAGAGGCCGCGCCTCGCGCTACTCAACCCGGTCGTCCCGACCTCGGCCTACAGCCTGAGCGTAGCTAAGATGCTGCGTGAGCTCTGCGACGCGATTGATTGTCGCGTCGCCATCCACGAGGTTGACGTGGCGTCGTCGCCCTTTGACTCTGCCCTCATCGAGCACTTTGACGGCTTCATCATCCCGGGTTCGGTGGCGTCCGCCTACGACAAGGCGACTTACCCCTGGACGTCGCATCTGGAGGCCACCATCCGCCGGCTGCATGCGCGGGGCCGACCGATGCTTGGTATCTGCTACGGCAGCAGCGCTCTGCCGCCGCGTGCTGTCGACCGGTCGTGAGATGGACGCGTGGGTTTTGATGAGATAGGGCATCAGATCATCTCGCAAGCGCTGGGCGGCCGCGTCGAGCACAACTCCGCTGGCCTGCAAGCGGCCCGCTGCGAGTTTGATGTGACGGCGCTCGGCGCTTCCCTCGGCTTGGGCAACGGTACGGCGGCGCTGCAATACCACCACAATGATTGTGTCACACGGCTTCCTCCGTGCGCCGCGAACCTCGGCTGCAGCGCGAGCTGCCCGGCTCACGCCTCGGCACTGTTCGCCTCGCCCACCACCAGCCGAATGGCGGTGAGTCGCGGCGTTCCCGCCGACCCGCCGATCGGGATTACGCTGCAAGGCCACCCCGAATTCTCCACTCCCACCGGCGCCGCCATCCTCCTCGACATTCTGCACGGCGAGGAGGGCGGCGCCGAGCGCTACGGCGACTCTGCGCGTGATGCGGACGGGCGCACGGCGGCGCAGGCGCACAAGATCACGCGGGCGGTCATGGGTCTGCTCTGGCCAAAGGCATTTGCCGAGTGAGGAACGAGCGCGCGCGGGCGGCGCACAGGCGGCGGCGGCGGCGGCGGCGGGAGGTGGGAGTTGACCATGCACTCCATCTTGGTCAGCTTGCGGTTCCTGCCGGGGGGGGGGGAGGGGCGCGCGGCTGAGTAGCAGAGCAGCGCTCGGCGCCGAAGCGTTCGGCGGGCGCGCGAGGGGGCGCGCGGGCGGGCGGGCGAGCGCACTCTTTCTTCGTCATCGCGGTCGCCAGGTCGAAGTCCATGACCTTCTATCCTTTGCCCTTGCCCATGGTTGCGAGAGTTGGAGCGGTGAGCGAGAGGTGAGGATGTCACAGTCGTCCAAGTGTCTTGACGATTTCTACGGGATTGCGGTTGTTTCGGCCGCCACGTGTGATGCACATCTCCATGAGCGATGCCGTGAACTCTCTCGCCCTCCGGACTCCGGACTCCGGTTGTACCCCAAAATGCCAAAAAAGCATAGCACCTTCCTCATAAGCGTAACTCATTACTCAATACTCATTTCTCGCAACCCGACAAACCCCCTCAAGCAAGAGTTGGAGGAGATAAATAAAAAGAACTCTCTCGGGCAGCGATTGAGCTAGCGCGAGCCGTGCCCGTGTCGCGTGTGTAGCCTTTTAACATGCCTTTTAAGCTCTCTCTCCCACACGTGATTTGTGTGGCATCTGAGATCTGTGTTTCGCGTCGATGCACGATGGAGGAAGGAGGCAGCCTGGTCAGGGGCTCAGGGCTCTTGGGAAAGCGGGGGGGGGGGGGGGATGCAAGGAGTCCACACGCAGCAGGGCCGAAAAGACTTGTCGGCGGCCGGCAAACTTGCCACGTTCCCAAGGACGCACGACGCAAGGAAGTCAGCCGATCACAACAAACGCAAGCGAACCATGGGTGCCTGCAGCTCCAAGTCGACCAGCAACATCGCCGACCCGGTGATGCAGCCGGAGCAGATCAGCGCTCCCGCCGACACCGCCGCCGTCGTCGCCACGCCCGACGTCGCGCCCGCCGAGACGCCCGCCGCCGACGCGGCGGCTGCACCCTCGACCGTGACGCCCGAGGCGGAGGAGCCCGCTGCAGAGGAGCCCAAGGAAGAGGCCGCGGCCGAGGACAGCGCAGCCGAGGAGGCGCCTGCCGAGGCGGCCGACGAGGTGCCTCCGCCGACCGAGCCGGTCAAGTCGTCCTCCATCTTGGGCCAGGTGGTCGACTACCTCTCGGGCCGCAAGTCTGAGCCTGCTGTCGAGGAGACCGAGGCGGTCGAGACGGCGGAGGCCGACGCGCCGGCGGCGGAGGCGGAGCAGCCGGTCGCACGCGCGCTGACTGGGGCGGTCGATGCGGTCGCCCAGCGCGACGACGCCGAGCAAGAGGAGGCTCGCGTCGAGTGGCGGGCATACGCCCTGGCGGCGGGAGAGGCGGGCCTCGCTCGCGAGATGAGCGTCACGCCAGAGGAGCTTGCTGAGGTCGAGGCACGGCTCGCCTACAGCCACGCGGCCGCGGCGGCCGAGGCTGCCGAGGCTGCCGAGGTCGCGGCTCCGGAGCCTGCGGCCGAGGCTGCGCCTGAGGCTGCTCCAGAGGCTGCTCCAGAGGCGGCGCCCGAGGCGGCGGTCGAGGCGGCGCCCGCGGTCGCTCCCGAGGAGGAGGAGGGGCCACCGACGCTGATCCAGAAGCTGTCCAAGGCCTTCTCGAGCCTCCTGCCCGCCGCGCCAAAGTGCATGCCCTCCCGCCCCGCGCTTGATGAGGAGCCGGCCGACAGCGACACGCCGGCGCCTGCCGAGCCAGCTGCAGCGCAGTGGGGCACCAAGCGCATCAGCCAGCAGCACTGGAAGTAGCTAGAACCGCGCCATTGCGCGGCGCGCGGACTCGAGTATTGACCAGAGCAGTGTATCGTGGCTATGTTTTATTCAGTTGTACGGGGGTCTGATGAGTCAAAGATTACGGGGTACATGTCGACGGCTCTCTGCATTCTCTGTCGCCTTTCGACTCTGGTCTGGCTCGAGGGCCGTGTCTCTCTCGGTGTACGTACTCTCTCCCTCTCCCTCTCCCTCTCCCTCTCTCTCTCTCTCTCTCTCTCTCTCTCTCTCTCTCTCTCTCTCTCTCTCTCTCTCTCTCTCTCTCTCTCTCTCTCTCTCCGTCTCCGCGCTCTCTCCCCCTCCCCCCCCGGTGTACGTGGAACGTGGTTTTAGCTTAATTGGAGAAAAGGGAGAGGGGTGTGTTCTCTCTCTCTCTCGGTGTACAATACATCGCGCACACCACACCGAGAGAGAGAGAGAGAGAGAGAGAGAGAGAGAGAGAGAGAGAGAGTACTCACCGCGACTTAAATGAGCGAGAAAAAGGACCCCTAGAACGGCTTCGCGCCGGCTTGAGAACGAGCGCGGCGCCATTTGCTGACGACACGAACTGGCGTCGCCACCCACGGTTGCCTACTTCCCTCGAGCACTTCCTGTGTGTGTGTATCTACAGACCACACAGATCACAAATTCTCTCGTCCTCAGAACCCGAGCCAAACAGGGACACACACATGATGACGCCCGTCCCACAACTCACAGAGAGTCCAGGCGAAACAGACAGGCGTTCTCCCACCCCGCCCCCTAAGGTACCACCAAACACAACACGCCGAGGAACCCTCGCTCCAGCTCCATGCGACGTAGCACCGTTCTCACTTCCGTTCGACCGTGGGTTGCTCCTCGTTGTGTGCTGCCAGCGTCAGTCAGCTGCGTGACAAGCGCGACGGTCCAGCTGAAGACGCAGTCGATGAAGGCAAAGAAGCCACGCCAAAGAGGTCGCGCACGTGGCTGGCGAGGCAGGGCGGCTCGGGCACCATGCGCGGCCCCATCGCGGCCGCACCACCGTAGCACGCGTCGAGCCATATCTTGAGCTCGTGCAGATGGCCGCCCTTGGCGAGGCGCAGCAGCGTCGCGTCGTGCTCGGCGCGCTTCGCGAGGAAGGCCTGATAGTCGATCTGCGCCGCGCTCAGCTGCTCTTGCGCGGCGATCGCGCTGGGGCGGGCGTCCTCGAGGCCATCGGCGGTCTGGCAGAGCTCGACGAAGAGGTGCATGCGCGTCGCCACGTCCAGCGGCACGCAGACGTGCGTCGGCTGCGACGCCGGGTCGACGCAACGCGGGCAGCAATCGAAGCCGCAGCTCCGGCAGCCCGCATACATGCCCTCGATGGGCTGGAGGCAGAGGTCGCAGAAGCGGCGCTCGCGCTGGGAGCGTTGGAGCGAGAGCGGCTTCTCGCAACGGCTCATGACCTGCCCATAGACACGACGAGAGTGGTGAAGCAGGGATGGTGAGACTTCAAACAGCGGGGGGGCGCCCGGGTTTCGATCCGTGTACCTTGGAGAGGAAGTCTTGCTTCTCGTCGTCCTCTTTGGCCGAGTTGCCGAGCAACCCGCCCGCAAGCAGCCCAACCAGCGCCGAGTTGTGCATATTCTCGACGGGGCCGAGACGCACGCCGGTGGCGGTGGCGAGGTGCTGGTCGATGAAGCGGAACAGGGCCGTGTTGGCAGAGCTGGCCGACTCAGCATTGTGGCGGCGCAGCTCGTGGTCTTGGAAGAGCTGTAGGTAGACGTTGGTGAAGCGCCGCTCGGCGTCGGTGACCATGCTGACGCTGGCTTGTCGGAGGGCCTGCGACTCGTCGGACTGTGGGAGCGCCTTGCGGCAGAAGGCGGCCGCCTCTTTGCACGCCTGCTTCTCGGTCTCGGAGTGCTCGCGCTTGATGACGCAAGCGCCGTGCTCGGTGGCGCGGGCGTGGAGCTGCGCCAGCGGCAGCAGACCGAGAAAGGCCGCGCCGCGAAGGGCGTCGATCTGATAATCGGCCGGCGCGACGAGGAGAGCCGAGCACATTGGCGCAGGCAAGGCCAGCCAGGCGCACGCATTCTCCGTGCAGACGGACTTGTGATCCTTGCTTTCGACCGGCCGTCCTAGGATGTACTTGAGGGCATCCTCTGTGCATTTCAGGCCCTCGCGTTTCTCGATCTGCTTTCCAAGCGCGGAGCCACGCAGGATTGCCACCTCGGAAACGCATCGAAAGATCACGCTGCGCTTCCCGAGACCGAGCATCATGGTGCAGGTCTCGCGCGGCGTCAGCGTCTCACAGATGTGGAGCATGACCTCGTGCGGCAAGTCGTGGATGACGACAGACACGGCACGCCGCTGCGAGAGGCGGCGAGCCTGGCTCATGAGTGAGGGAGGCACCCCCGACCCGGTCCAGTCCGGTTCTGTCTCCACGCGCGAGTGCGGGCGGCTGTAGACGGCGCTGACCGGGCGCTGACCGGGCGGGGTCCTCGAGTAAGGGTACCGGCGACGGCATCGATGTTGTCCGCCCGAGCGTGACTCGCCCCTCCACGATTTGCCGTCCACGGCCAAACCGATAACCAGACAATGAACATCGCACATCGGTCATCGCGCTCGTCACCGGCAAATTGAGAGAGGACGAAACAACGAACGCGACGAGAGACTACGGGGTGTGGAGGGTGAGTTGACCAGGGGGTTGTGAGCCGGGCCCTCCTGCTCGGCTCCAGCCGGTAAACAAGTCTTGTCATCAACAGAGTAGAAGGATCTGACCTCGGGGCCGATGTGACCAAGCGCTGGTAGCGTGGTTTGACCTCACACCCATGGTCTCACAGTGTGCCGGCAGTCGCCGAGCAGTGTCGCTCACACAAGCCGCAGCACAAGTGACTGAGGGCCAGTGAGGGGCGAGCCCATCGCATGTCACAGCTGGTAGCCCAAGGCACGGGACCAAACCCCAAAATGGTTTAAAAAGGGGGATCTGTGATTTCAAAACTGTGCAGGGAGTGTGTGAGCAGCAGAGGAGCTGCTCTCCAGGCTTCAGGCGCAAAGAGCTGCATGCCACCGAAGGCGCTGTCGAGGTTCGCCGAGCGCGGCGCAGGTTGGGGGAAGCCGCCACCGACGAGCGCGTTGGACTTTTCACTCCGGACAGAAAACGCGGCACAGCGGACGGTGCGGGGCGTGCCGCAAACCTTAGCGCATAGCGCATAGCGGCGAGGCGCGGGACCGGGTCTGTGGCGAAGTGGGTCGCGTCCCACGATTTATCCACTGGGACGAGTCAATTCATTCACTAGAATGACTAGAAAGGGCACCCATGGGGGGTGATCGCACGTCAACCCAGCATCCACACCCTTTAATTACTCTACGGCTCAAGAGAACGAGCCGAACTATACGGGGCTGGCGACCCACTTGCTACTCTCCACGCGCACCCAGCTCCAGGCACTCCTCCAGCTGCGACACCTGGTCGAGCAAGCCTGTCCCCACGAGAACTAGGCCTATTGTAGCGGCCGAATCGCGCGCGGTGGCGAAAAGGTTGGGGCCGGGCTCCGACCCGATCGCCTCGCAGATGCGCTTGAGCCGCAGGGGGAGGGGCGTGGTCGCCGGTGCCGCTGGCGCCACCGGCGTCAGAGCGCTATTGCGCTCAGGGAGGGGGGAGGCGATCCCAAGGAAAGACCCGCCCCCCTCCGCCGCCTCCCGCGCCGCCGCCTCCCTCTCCTTCACCGCCGCCTCCTTCGCCGCCCTCCTCACCTCCGCCACCCGGCGCGACTCCACCGCCCTCCTCCTCGCCGCGCCAGCCACCACCGCCGCCGCCACCGCGGCCCTCGCCGCCCTCCCCGCCGCTCGCCCCTTGGCTGCCGCCACCGCCTCGTCCGCCTCCGCCGCCGCCGCCGCCTCCGCCTCCGCCGCCGCCGCCGCCCTCGCCGCCTCCTCCGTCGCCAACACCACCGCGGTCGCCACTCTCCGGCTCGGCTGCGCCACCCGCACCGAACCCGCGCTCCCCGCACCCGCCGCACCCGCCGCACCCGCCGCCGCACCCGCTGTCGCCACCGCTTGGACCTGGCCGTCGGCCGCCGCCGTCGCCCGCGCTCGCGCTTGGGCGCCCGCCGCCACCTCGGCCTCCGCTTGCGCGATAAGCGCCCGCTGCCTTCTCTCCTCCGTCGCCTGGGCCTCCCGTTCCCTCACGAGCCGCGCCGCTGCCGCCGCCTCGGCGCGCGCCTGCCTCTCGAGCCTCTCCCGCTTCTCGTCACGTGCGCGCTCGGCCGCCGCCGCCCGCTGCTGTGCGACGAGCTCGGAGAGGGTGAGCGTCCGAGACGCCTCCTCCGCTGACTCCTCCTCCTCTGACGACGACTCGTCCACAACCTCCGCATTCTCTCGACTGTCTGCCCGCGAGGGCGGTGGCGCCGGCTCCGACGCCTCCGCGGCGGCGGCGCCCTTCCGCTTCGGCTTCCCAAACCCGTTCCTCTTCTTCTTGTTAGCCTTCTTGGCGGGCGCGGGCGCCGGCGCCTTGCTGGCCTCCTCCGAGTCAATCAGCTCCGCGGCGAGCCTCTGCCTCCGCTCCGCCTGCGCGCGGCACGGATGACGGGGGTAGGAGTTGTGTGTGCACTAGCCGACCGGTGCCGACGGTGCCGGTCGGTGGTGTCTGCGCGCCTCTGCAATGTCCTCCGCCGCTGCACGCAGCGCCTCCTCCGCCTCGGCGCACCGCTCCTTCTCCTTGGTGCGCGCGCTCAGCTTGGCCAACGCGCGGCGGCGCCTCTCCTCGCGGCGGGAGAGCGGCGCGCTCGCCGGCGCGTCACCCGCGTCCAGCAACGCCTCCTCAACTGTGCGAGGCCGGGCCGGCTCCGTCGGCGGATGCTCTGGCGACCGTGGAGGCGAGGAACCGGCAGCCGTCGGCGGCTCAGTCGGCGGCTCCTCCTCCTCTGCGCCTACAGAGCCGGAGCCGCCATCGCTGACCTTCGTTCGGGGTGCGCATGCCCGCCGACCACGCCCTCGCCATGGTAGAAATCGATCACGTCGCCATCCTCCATGTCCACCTGAATAGGGTCCGGCGGGTCATCGCGTGTGGTCCAGCGCCGCAGGCGGAAAGAGGCCAAGGGCGGGGCGCCGCACCTCGGCCGGCGTTTGGTCGCTGCGGAGGCGCTCGCCATCGAAGACGAAGCGGACCTCGTCCTCGGCCTTGCCTTGGCGCTCGCAGAAGGCGCGCATGAGCTTAGACAGCGGCGTCGTCTTCTTGCACTGCCGAGCGAGGCGCGGGCATCGGCTCGGGCCAAAGAGACGGTGCAGCTGCCGCAGAGGCAGGTGCCGCCGCGGCAGCAGAGGGAGAGAGGGGCGGCGGCACTGGGAGCATGCGGGGGGGCGAGGCGGCGCACGCGCCTTGAAGAAGACTTCTGCGCCGTCCTCCCACGCCCCCTCCCCGTTGCCGACGCCGGTGGTGGAGTGTGCGTCGCCCAGCGCGCGGTTCGCATCCGCCGTCCCGCCGTGCGTCGACGGCTCGCCAATGCGCTGCCACCCCGCTGCAGCATCCGGAGGGAGGTAGCGCCTGCGCTCGATCACCTTGAGGTTGATCGAGAGATCTACCTTCGTGTTGATCACGTCGCCATCCGCCAAGTCCGCCTGTGACGGGAGGGGCGGGCCGTCGAGGAGAGGCGGCGCGGCGCAGGGGCGTAGCGGCGCCAGCACAGGGGCGCCAGGGTACAGGGGAGCGCAGGCACTGAGACTGCGCAGGCACTGAGACTGCGGCGGCGGGCGGCTCGCCTCCTCTGGCGTCTGGTCGCGCTGGAGCGGCGTGCCGTTGAAGAGGAAGCGGACGTCGTCCATGGGCTGGCAATGGCGCGCGCAAAAGGCGCTGAACACCTTGGACAGCGGCGTCGTCCTTTTGCACTGCGGAGGCGCAGAGCGGTTGGCTCAGTCGGAGAACAGTGCAGCCGAGGCGCGGCGGACGGGAGGGGCGCGGCGGTGGTGCGGGAGGGGAAGGAGCGCGCGAAAGGGTGCGAGGGGCGAGGGACGGCGAGCGGCGAGGGGCGAGGGGGGTGGCGAGGGGCGAGGGGGTGGTGAGGGGTGAGTGGTGCCTTGTAGAAGATTTCGTTGCCCGCCTCTGTGACCAGCTTGAGGGTGATCTTCGGGACATCAGCGCGTGCCGCCGGCGCGGGTGCGGCGGGCGCGGCGGGCGCGGCGGGCGCGGCGGGCGCGGCGGGCGCGGCGGGCGCGGCGGGCGCGGCCGAGCCTGCCACTGATGATGGTGAGGCGCCCGGTGCGGCATCCTGCACGAGTGCCGGAAGTGGCAACATGACGCCCTGCAGCATCTCCGAAAGTGGCATGCCCGACATCGAGAGGTATGTATCGCACATCTCGTCGCTGTTGAAGGAAGCCTTCACTTTCGAGATCAGACTCTCCGCGGCATCATACAACGTTGCGATACGCCCCGGCTCGATGCCGCGGCATCTATGAACGGCGGCGATTGCATTCGCTACTGCCTGCGGATCGGGCCCATCTTTCGCACGGCCCCGTGCCATTAGGGCCGCCACCAGCGCGTTGACCGCCGCAAGACGCGTTGGGTACTCCGCGTCCTCCTCCTCCCCCGCTGCCGCTATCTGCGCCTCGGCCAGCGCCATCCTGGCCACCATCCACCTTTGGGTTCCTTCCATGAGCCCATCGGGGAGGCTTTCCCCGAACGCCTCCCGATACAAGTCCGCCGCAAGCTGCCGCGGAGGCAGTCGAAGATTGAGTTGTGAAACACGCTCCTCCGGGTCCGCCGCACCCTCGGCGGCATCGCCGTTGCCGACGCCGGCGGTGGAGTGTGCGTCGCCCAGCGCGCGGTTCACATCCGCCGTCCCGCCGTGCGTCGACGGTTCGCCAATCCGCGCGGCGCAGCGGGGAGCTGCAGCAGCAGCAGCATCCGGAGGGAGGTAGGGCCGCAGCTTGAAGATCCGCGCGCGCATGTCCTTGGTGGACGTGTCGTCCACGCCGTATTGCGGCGCGGACGCCTCGCTCTGCAGGCGAACCGTGACGCGGCCCTCGCTGTAGTCGCCGATGACCCGCGCGATCCGGCCGTTTAGCTCGGCTCGATCGAAGCCGTCGAGAAGGACGAGTCCGTCGCGCAGTCGGCAGTCGGCAGGGAGGTGGGTGTCCGCGCTCGCTCGGCCGCCGATGACATGGATGATCTGAGCCAGCATAATCTCGGTGGGGTCCCGCGCGCCTTCCATCGCATTTCGCCAGGCGCTCAGCAGCGCCGGCAGCGCTCGTTGGAGGGCGGCATGCGTGTCGAAGAGGTCGACGCTGTACGCAAAGTACGCCGTGAGAGCATCGTAGGCCGCTGCGATCGCGCCCACTGAGACGTGCTTCTGCAGCTCGTTGCAGAGTTTGTGCCACGACGGCTCGATGCCGTTTACGATGGCCTCAGCGACGTATGTGTGGATTGTGTCCTTGCAGCCAGCCTCAACCAGCGCTGGCTCCAGATCCTGCACCGCAGCGGGACTCGCCGGGTAAGGGAAGAGGGAGAGCCTGGCCATGCTTGGCTGCCCGAGGTTGGGAGGAAAAGAATTTTACAACCACTCCCTCGCACAACACTGGGCACGGGACTGGCGCGCACTGGTACTAACACAGGAAAAGAATGTCGTTGCATGTGGTGTCGGAGAGCTCTCGAGGTCTCGACGGGCAGCCTGACCCCTCCCCACCGATGTGTATTTTTTCTCTGCCCGATTGCGCGGTGCCTGCAAAAAAGAATCTGTGCGCTGTTAGCTAGTGAGCTCATACGCCGCCAAGTGCAAAGAAAACGCTGGCGTTCGGTGTAGACGACGGATAGAGGTACAGCAGCTAAATCTCGACCCTCTCGCCTCCGATGTCTCATAGTACATAGACTCAGGCGAGCGTCGACGTACACTCTGAATTTCTCGCGATGTCTCGAGACACAGCTCGCACGACGCCTCGCAATATCGTCCAATCCGCAAGCTCGGCTTGGGACATTCGACAGCGAGTCCCACAAGGCGCCACTCACAAGGCGCCACTCACTCGCGCCCCCGCTGGGTAAGCACCTGCGGCGCGCTCACTCCACACGCATGAGCCGGTAGACACAGTGGCCGAGCCCTCCGAACTCGACCACGGCGCCCTCCGGGACGACGGTCGGCGCCGGCTTGGGGCCGTCGGCCGGTCGGCGCGGTCGACCCGGCACCCGCACGCCATTCACTGTGATGCCGTGCAGCGAGCACCTGTCCAGCGTCTGGAAGCCGCCGTCGGCGATCTCCACATCCCAGTAGGCTCCCACGCGTAGCTCCGCGTGGGAGCGGCTGATGGTCGACGTCCAGTTCCACGGCACGCCCTCGATGCGGACCCCGCGGCCGACGGCGACGGGGGAGCCGTCCATCGGGATCCCGATCCGCGACGGGGCGCCCTCGCACTTGCTTTCGCGAACCAGTACCAAGTGCCCTTGCGAGGCCCGGGCCAGTCGGCGAGCATCCGGGTGCCACGCGTCGTGCGTCAGGGCGAGCTGGATACTCTGCCGCGCCTGGGTGTGCTGCCCACGCCTCATCTCCTCGTAAGCACGCCCCATGACAGCAGCAGCGAGTACGTTCCCGCGGTTTGGGCGGGGCTGCCAATCGACACCCGCACCCTCGGCCGGCTCAGCCGAGGGGAGCCCGGCCAGCGCGTCCTCGGCCGGCGCGTCCTCCGCCACCTCCATGTCGATGTCGGCTGCCGCGGCGCTGTCAGCCTGGTCGAGCTGCACGTTCACCACCTCCGCGTCCGCACCCTCGGCCGGCTCAACCGAGGGGAGTCCGTCCGGCGCGGCCTCCGCCACCTCCATGTCCATCGCGTCGGGGCTTGCGGTGCTGCCACCAGTCGGCTCCTGCGGCGGCTTGGTTTGGCTCGAGGGCGCCGCCTCCGAGCCCCCCGCCTCTTCCTGGCACGCAGCCGCGATACCCGCTCTGGCCTTGACTGCAGTCTTGCGCGCCGGACGCTTGCCCGTCGCCCCATCTCCGCTGCTCTGCGGCTCGTCCGCGCCTCTTGCGCGCTTGGCGCCTTGCGTCGGCTTGTCAGCCGCTCGGCGCACGAGGACGTACGCGGCGGGTGGAGGGTCCGATGGCGAGGACGGCCGCGCCTGGATCCTCTCGCCGACTCGCACGGACACGTCTTGCGCTGCAACCTCGCCCGAGTTGAACAGGACGCCGCGCGTGTGGTCGTACCAGATGGTGCCGCCGCATGCGTCCGTCGCCTCGGGCGCAATCTTGATGAGTAGTCGCCGCTCGGGCGGCGCCGGTGTCAGCTCTGCTGCGAGGATGAGCGCGAAGGTGCCAGTGCCGGAGGACGTGTCCGAGCTGAAGCCCGCTGGGCGAGACCAGCGGCGTTGCAGCTGCGGTGCGCTCAGGCCGGCGAGGCAGTGGCCGGGCACCTTGGCCACCTCGGCTACCGCCGCCTCCCAGTCCTGGCGTCGCATCACGCCCTTACCGAGAGAGAGCTGATCGACGAGGCCCGCAATGGCGAAGTACATCTCGCTCTGCAGGGCCTCCCAAGATGCGGTGAAGACGTCGACGTGGGCGGCCAGATCAGGATACGATTTGTAGCGGCGGGAGAGGTATTGGGCCATCGCCTTTTCTGATGCGCAGTGCTTCACGTATACCGCGATCGACTTGTCCTTGCCGAGCCGCGCCCAGTCAGGGCCGCCACACTGAGGGCCGCCGCCGCGGCCTCGGAAGACCAGCGCTCCTGCCGCGTCGCGCTCCGTCAGCTTCTCCTCCAGCAGCTCGACAAGCGCACTTTCACCCGAGGCGACGCGCTTCGTTGCGAGGGTGAGCTGCCGGCGCGCCCCGCCGAGCTGCGGGATCGTGTAGGTGCCCTTCACGTCGAGCCGCGCCACCGTCTTCCCCTTGGGCGTAGAGGCGTTGTGCGTGTCCGCCAAGGCGTTGAAGGCGACGAGGACGGCCTCGGGGACGGGTGCGGCCGAGAGGCAGGTGAGCTGCCAGCGCGCGGCGGCGAGCTGCGCGACCGTGTAGCTGCGCTCGACGTCGAGCCGCGCCACCGTCATGCCCTTGGGCGCCGAGGCGTTGTGCGTGTCCGCCTCGGTGTTGAAGGCGACGAGGACGGCCTCGGGGACGGGTGCGGCCGAGAGGCGGGTGAGCTGCCGGCGCGCGGCGGCGAGCTGCGTGACCGTGTAGCTGCGCTCGACGTCGAGCCGCGCCACCGTCTTGCCCGGTGGCGCCGAGGCGTTGTGCGCGTCCGCCTCGGTGTTGAAGGCGACGAGGACGGCCACAGAGACGGGCTCGGCCGAGAGGAGGGTGAGCTGCCGGCGCGCCTCGCCGAGCTGCGTGACCGTGTAGCTGCGCTCGACGTCGAGCCGCGCCACCGTCTTGCCCGGTGGCGCCGAGGCGTTGTGCGCGTCCGCCTCGGTGTTGAAGGCGACGAGGACGGCCACAGAGACGGGCGCGGCCGAGAGGCGGGTGAGCTGCTCGCGCGCTTTGGCGAGCTGCGTGACCGTGTAGCTGCGCTCGACGTCGAGCCGCGCCACCGTCTTGCCCGGTGGCGCCGAGGCGTTGTGCGCGTCCGCCTCGGTGTTGAAGGCGACGAGGACGGCCTCAGAGACGGGCGCGGCCGAGAGGCGGGAGAGCTGCCGGCGCGCGAAGGCGAGCTGCCGGTACGTGTACTTCTTTGTGGCGACGAGCGGCTGCACGCGCTTGTCCTCGGCCACCGTGGCGTTGTGCTTGAGCTGCGCCGCGATGACGGCCTTGATCAAAGCGGCAGTAGCTGTAGCCGTCCGCTTCTCCGACTTGGCGCCGTTGATGCACGCGAGGCGGCCGAAGCCGTGCCCGCCCAGCCCGTCGATCGACACTTTGCCGAGCTCGTCCAGCGTGATCGAGGACCGCACGCCGCCGGCGCTGTCGGTGAGGCGCTTCTTCTCAAGGCGCTCCACGGACCTTGCCCAGCTCGCGGCGGAGAAGGTGGCCTTGTAGGCGACCAGCGTCGCGACGATGGTTGGCGCGACGGAGCCGAGCACGTCCACGATGAGCTCCTCGAGCGCCGCCTGCACGTCGTCGCGCGGTGGCAGCGGGCTCGACGAGCCCCGCCACCACTCGGCCGCCGCGCCCACCGCCGCGACGGCGAGCTCCGAGTCGGCCAGGTTGCTCGAGTCCTCCTCGAGCGGGATGAGCCGAGCGCCGGCGAGAGCGAACAAGTTGCAGACATGTGGCACGCGTGCGAAGGCGACGCCGAGCTTCTCGAAGTCGTACAGCCACGCGTCGCTCGGCCCGATGCGGTGCGAGCTCGCAGCCCTCTTGCCGAGCAGCGAGGCGGCAGCGCTGCCGCCACCCACGAGGCCGTTGGAGTCCGAGAACGCGTACCACTCCACGATGGGCCTCGAGCCGAGGCTGCTGTCGGCGGCGGCGATGAACGCCGAGAAGACCGGCTCGAGCACGAAGCGAATGATGTTGATGTGCGCAGCGCGGTCCGTGTGCTCCTTCGGCCCGAAGCAGTGAGGCCGAAGCGAGGCGGCGGCGCTGCCGGCGCCGCTGCCTGCCTCCGCCTCCTCGTCCTCGTCCTCGTCGTCCTCCTCGACCAGGTCCGGCCGCGGCGTGACGCCATTTGCGCGGCGCGACAGGAACAGCTCCCATCGGCAGTGGCACGTCGCCGTGTTCGCATTGAATCGAACGACGACGGCGTGGCTGCCGCACGTCGTCTTGTCGAAGAGAAGCGCGGCGTTGACCGCGGTCGTGGTTGACTTCTCTCCGTCCTGGTTGGAGGAAAAGAATGGGAGGGAGCGGTCGCCGTCGTAGATCAAGTTCCGAGCGCACTCTCCTTCGTGTACCACAAACTTGGCGCCACTGGCGAACGCCTCGTCGACCTGTGCCTGCGTCGCCTCTTTGATCTCGCGGCCGTCTGCAACGACTGATACTTGAACCATGGGAACGCCTTGGCGCGTCCCCGTCGCGAGGTGCTCTGCAATCCTCTGGACGCGGTCTTCGACGGCCGCGATCTCCGCAGGCGCGTTGAAGGCGGGGACGGCTCCGACTGGGCTGAAAACCAGGTTGTACCACGGCAGCGCGAGAAGCGACAGCCCAATCTCGTCCAGATCCGAGTCGGAGGCGGTGTCGAGGAAGGCCTGGCTGGCGGTCGAGAGTACAAGGCATGGGCTGTTGACGGCTGGGTCTTGGACGGAGCACAAGTGCTCGACTGCGGCCCGAAACGGGTGCAGATCTGGATACGTGTTCCGCACGGTGGTTGTCATGTGCTCAAAAGCCCGCTTGAGCTCCTCGCTTTTGCCTGCGGATTCGCATGGACGGCAAACCTTGCCCGCCGCAGCCGGCCACGAGTTTGCGACCCTCGATCGGGCGTCCGGGTCGTCCGGGCCGCACACTTGGCAGCCTGAAGACGCGGGCGCGATACGGATGAGCGTGGGCGGGTGTGCTGGCAGTTTGCAGGCGTGCGGACCTTAGAAACGGGGGGAGGCCGGCGCGCACGAGCCGCTCGCCCTGCACGCACTCGTGGCGCGCTCCTCGCCGGCCGTCGGCTGGCCTCGGTTCTTTCCCCGCTCACCCGCGCCGCGGCCGGAGCAGCAGGCGGCGCTCTCGCTGGCATCCTTCGCGACTCTCGATCCAGCCGAGGAAGCGCCGCCGGAGGCAGCGCCGCCTGCGCCTGCGCCGCCGACTGCCGTCGCCGAGGGCCGTCCCGCCACCACCTCCTGGACGTGCTTCTTGAAGGCCTCGACGCACTCGGCGTTGTCCTTCTCCTTGGCCTGCTGCAGCGCCGTCTTGCCGCTCGCATTGCGCGTCGCTGTGTCTGCGCCCGCCCGCAGCAAGCGCCGCACGACGGCGGGGCGGTTGAAGAGGGCGGCGTACATCAGCGCGGTGCCGCCGCCGCTGTCCTGCAGGTTGAGCTCCGCGCCGTGCCGGAGCAGCAGCTCGACCACCCGCTCGTGGCCTTCGCCGGCGGCGAACGTCAGCGCGGTGCTGCCGTCGCTGTCCTGCAGGTTGATCGAAGCGCCACGCTGCAGCAGCGTCGCGGCCAGCAGCTCGTGGCCGTGGTGGGCGGCGTCCATCAGCAGCGTGAGGCCGCTCACGCCGCCTCTCTCGAACGTCGCGTTGACCCGCCCGCCACTGTCGATCCACGCCGGCACCGCCTCCTCTTCGCCTCGCTCAGCTGTCATGACCGCATCGGAGGCTGCCGCCTGCTGCGGCACCTCGACGCCGTTCATTTCTGGGCTCGAGGTGTAGCCCGCCGGCACGCCACCCTCTGTGAGACCGCCGGAAGGCGCCTCGTCAGCCGCCTCGCCATTCGCCTCGCCGGCCGCCGCTGGTGCAGCGCCGCGCGATGAGCATCGCGGCGCGAGGTGAGCGTCGCGGTACGCGCTCAGGTCGACGTCAGTGGCTTTGCGGATGCGCCTCTTTTTCGGCGTCTTCGCGCCGACGGCATGCACGGAGAAGTGGTTCGAGAACGCGCCGGGCACACGCTGCCACTGCACCTGGACCTCCTTCCGTTTTTTGTCGACGTATGTGGCCTTGCCGATCTTCGTCGACCTGCCGGTGCCAATGGCGATCATACATCCCTTCTTTATGTCCTCCATTTCGATCGAAGCGCCGAGGCAAGGCAAGAGAGAAACAAGACGGGGCGAGAATTTTTTCGGAGCAGCGGCGCGTGAGTTCAGGACTCACCGCCTTCAAATACCATCGCCAGGGCTCCGCCGCAGAGCCTCCTATGGTGGCGATGGCGAGGCTCCGCCTGCAGTCGCGTTGGTGCTGCAGCCCGTCACCCCTCGCTTTTTGTCAGCAAAGTATAGCGACCCGGCTGGACGGGCGCCGCACCGGTGATACGTAACGACTGCAACCCAAAGGTTGGGAGATTGATCGCGCGGTTCCGACGAGCAGTGTTTCGTGGCTTCCCAACCCATGCCGCCGACGCGTGAACATCGTGCTGTGGTCGACTCTGTTGGCACCATCTGTCGAGCCGCCCCGCGAGGCAGTACGAAGTCCCTGACCGCAAAGGCGCGGGTGGACGGCGCTGATTAGATGGATTTGTACCATGATGTGGCACAATGCGCCGCCCGACGCTTGTGTTGGCCTGCAAGCTGAAGACTGGAGAAGCGCGGGCGCACATTCCCCCTCCAGCGGCGCGCTGACTCGCACTGTGCTGCGCCGTGGACACCGCACGGCGTGCGACTTGGAGACGAGGCAGACGAGTGCGCAGCACGTGGGTGGAATCACATGTGTAATCGCGCATCGTCCGGCGTGCAAGTCGATCCAAGTCGATCCGTCCGTCCCACACTATTCTGGAGACTCCGGCCTGATGAACGAGCAACGAATTTTACGAGCTAAGAAATGCGTTTTTTTAGATGGTCGAGGATTGAACAAACAAAACTCAATCTCGCCCAGCAGACTGGCTCGACACAGGTGCGGACTGGCGCGTGCTTTCGCTTTGTTCCACCCACTACTATGTGATTTCGTGTGTGAGCTCTGTGTCTTGCTTTGCCAACAACAAACCTGAAACACACGGCAAACCAATGGTCGAGAAAGAAACTTGCACAGCGGGCCGCTCTCCGGGTGGTCTGTGGTGAGAGACCGGGGAGAGATCGTCCCTTCTGTCGCCCTTTGGTGTTTGGAGCGGACAAGAAATCAGTAGCGGAAGCGAGCCTGCCCCCGTGCCGAGAGGACCATAGCGACACTCTCTCTTAGACACGTTTCCTCTCTCTATTCTGCAGCGCAACGCGTTGCATCTTCGCGAGCGATTTCGAGCATGCGTGCGGCGTCGAGAGCGCGCCGGGGTCAGCAGCCCGCACAAACAGCTGGCGGACCAGCCACGCGTCCTCCACCACGCGAAGGTAGTACGGCGCCTCGGCCAGGCGGCGTGCAAACGAGGCCGGGTCGTCCACGTCGGCATCCTCGAGCACCGCCACGTTCGGGTACATGTTCAGCACGCGGGTATCGGCGTTGTACGAGATGTAGTGAGGCGTGCTGTCGTCGCCCGCCTCAACCTGGCCAGGGGTCGCGACACGGGTTGACAAAAGCTAAACGGCGCCGCTGCATAGTCTAGATCAGCGCACCGCCGCCCTCGGCCGCCCCCGTGTCCACGTCAGACTGCCGAGCTCCTCCTCGAGGCGGATAGCGTGCCACTTGGTCTCGCCGTCGTCATACTGCACGAGGTGGAGCTCGTCGGCCGCGCTGAATTCCACGACGCTCCCCGAGAACGGCGTGGGGGTTCCCCGCTCGAGCCACGTGACGTCGACCCTGCAACACAGAGGGGTGACGGGAGGCTTATCGATACCTACCACCAGGAGGGCGGGGGAGGGGGGGCGAAACCGGAGGGCGGGCGGGCGGGCGCGCGCGCGGGCGATCTCGTCCGCCGTCGCACGCGCTCACACCATGAGTGCCACGGCGAGGCGCCTTGTGAGGGAGGTGCGGACCATCCCTCAGACGGTCCTCGCGCGATGGCGGCGTGACGCGGGAGACGGCCGGAGCGAGAGGGGAGGGCGAAGCCGGAGGGAGGGCGGGCGGGCGGGCGCGCGCGCGGGCGATCTCGTCCGCCGTCGCACGCGCTCACACCATGAGTGCCACGGCGAGGCGCCTTGTGAGGGAGGTGCGGACCATCCCTCAGACGGTCCTCGCGCGATGGCGGCGTGGCGCGGGAGACGGCCGGAGCGAGAGGGGAGGGCGAAGCCGGAGGGCGGGCGGGCGGGCGGGCGAGGCGCGCGGGCGAGATCTCGTCCGCCGTCACACGCGCACACACCATGACTGCCACGGCAAGGCGCCTTGTGAGGGAGGTGCAAACCATCCCTCAGACGGTCCTCGCGCGATGGCGGCGTGGCGCGGGAGACGGCCGGAGCGAGAGGGGAGGGCGAAGCCGGAGGGCGGGCGGGCGCGATGGGGTGCGAGCGGGCGTCGAGGGTGGGGCGCGGACGCGCCTGGCGCCAACCGCCTCGGCTCCGTACGGCATCAGCTTGCCCGTTGTCTCGGTGCGGTCGTAGTAGACCAAGATGCCGAACACACCCTATTCAAGGCTGGAGACACCCATTCGGACCGGAGACGTTGACGGGTGGCGCGCGAGCGGCTGCGCACCGTTGTGCGGCCAAAGATATCGGACGCGCGTCGCAGTCCGCCCGTCGGCGAGGCGAACAAAAAGGCGGTGCCCAGCCCGCTGCTTGCCGCGAACGCCTCGTTGAGGTCTATGAAAAGCATCGAGTTCACCGAGGGGTCCGGGCTGACCTCTTGGCGGACGATGCCGAGCTGCTCGAGGCTCAGCGTCGTTGTGGTCTCGAGCAGGGCCTGCCCGCACGTCGCGCTGCCCGACGGCACCGGCCGGCATCCGTCGGTGACAAACGGGACGAGACCCTTGGAAAGCGTGAGCGCCCGAGGCTCCACGGGTCTCAGCACTCCCTCGCGCCGCAGCCGCTCGTAGTCAAAGTCGAAGCTGCGCAGCGGGATATCACACGCTCCGCCCGGGCGCCCCCAGCCGCGCCTGAAGCGGGTGCGCCCCGTCTGCTTGTTTTTGTAGCCCGCCTTTGTGAAGACAGTGCCAGCCGAACTAGCCCACGTCTGCCTCAGCCGCGCCCCCTCCGTGCGGGGCCGAGCCGCCGCCCTCGCCGCCGCCCTCGCCGCCGCCGCCGCCGCCGCCGCCGTCGACGCCGCTCGGGTGCCCGGGCCTGACCGCCGCGATGCCGCGGGCAGCCTGCTCGCCCGCCTCTGGAGGAGCCTCTCGGAAGCCTCCGAGCCGAGCGGGACCTGCCCACGGGCGGCCGCTCGCTTCTCCCTCTCCGCCTGATTGCGGTCCTGAGGCATGGCCGGCGGGTCGCTAAGCGTCACGCGCGCACGCGCGGCACCGTCGACGATGGCGGCGGCGGTCAGCTCTGGCTCGGCTGGAGCACTGTGATCGGCGTCGAGCTCGGCCCGCCGCATTGGCGCCGGCTGAGTGCAGTAGCGCCGGCCGGGTGGCTTCCGTCGCTGGACCATGCTGAAGCCGTCGCGATCGTGGAAGCGGCAACATGACGCGCAGTAGAGGTGCTGGCCGTCGGTCTTGGTCTCCACAAAGGAGGCGGTGAGGTTCGCGGAGAGCATCGCGCTCGTTCCGAGCGGGAGGATCCGAGCGCGAAAAACAAAAGAATTTGCGTCGTTCGCAGCATACTCACGGGCGAGCATCGTGTTCGGTGAGTGCTGCACGATTTTTTCTTTGTTTTCTATTTAGTTATTCCCCCCTCAACCATTTGTCGGGTTGAGGCCTCCGGGGCCTATTCACAGGCTCGAGCGTGATCACAAGATAAACTGCGAAGAGCCTGCCGCCAAAAAATCGCTCTGAGTAGATTGTTTTTTCCCTGAATAGTTATCAAAGAGCCCGGGGTGGATGTTAGCTCGGGCAAATTCCACGCCAGGTTTCTCTTTGCAAAAAAACAAAAGATGCACCCCTGGTGCGAATGGGGTGCCTGCCCTCTCTCGGCGAACGCATTCGCGGCATCGCGGCTGCATCATCGCAAATGGCCTGTCTGCTCGTCGACGGCACGACCCAACCTCGCACGCGACGCACGCCAGCATGCTGCTGCTACTGCCTCCGCTCGGTGGCCATGCAGCGTATTTGGCATGGCATGGCGGTCCGAGGCTAGCCGCGAGCAGCAGCAGCAGCAGCAGCGGCAGCAGAGCTGCTTACATGATAGCAGTGTCCAAGCAGCAGGCCGACGCGGAATCTGACGCGAGGCTGATGGCGGCGCTCTTTGGCGGCGGCGGCGGCGGCGAGGGTGGCGGCGAGGGTGGCGGCGGCGACGCGTCCGGTCTCTCGCCGGAGAGCATGATGGATGCTCTGTATGAGGAGGATGAGTCGATCGTCGAGAAAAGCAAGCTCATCCCCTCCCACAAGCACAGAGCTGCTGTCACGATGTCAGTGTCCAAGCAGCAGGCCGACGCGGAATCTGACGCGAGGCTGATGGCGGCGCTCTTTGGCGGCGGCGGCGGCGGCGAGGGTGGCGGCGAGGGTGGCGGCGGCGACGCGTCCGGTCTCTCGCCGGAGAGCATGATGGATGCTCTGTATGAGGAGGATGAGGCGATCGTCGAGAAAAGCAAGCTCATCCCCTCCCACAAGCAGCTTGACCTAAACGAGGACGGCGAGCCGCTCATGCTGCGATTCGCCTATGTGGACGAGATTGCGTGCATCGGCTGCACCTTCTGCGCCGACGTTGCTCGGGGCACCTTTTACATGGACGAGCAGGCCGGCAGGGCCCGGGTCTTCAATCAGGGCGGCGACGAACCCGACGTCATCCAGGAGGCGATTGATACATGCCCGGTGAACTGCATCACGTACGTCGACCTGGAGGACTTGCAGATCCTCGAGTCGGAGCGTGAGGGCCAGGTCATAAACCCGGCCTCGATCGGCATCCCCGCGACGTGGTCCGTCTCGATGAATGCCATCCCGCCCACCAAGGCCAAGGCCTTCAACATGGCCGGCTCGCTGGCGTGCTGCAACAACTGCCCCGGCAAAGGGTGCGAGGAGTGCCCGATGTACGGCGTCGGCCGCAATCCCGTCTACCTCGCCCGGCTCGAGGAGCGCGCCGCGAAAAAGGAGGCGAGCGGAGAGGCGGCGAGGGAGCGCGAGGAGGCGGCCGCCGCCGCCAACGTCGGCAAGCTCTTCGCGGCGCCCGAGGAGGAGCTTGAGGAGGAGGAGGAGTTGAGCGGCGTGGTGGTTCCGACCGGCGGCGCTCCCGGCCTGGACGGCTCGACCCTGAACGCGCTGTTTGGGCAGGTGGCGTCCTTCCGCTCCCCCCTCTGTCTCTGCGCTCTTCACTGTCTCAGTGAGCGTGAGCTCCCGTCCCTAGTCCCTGAAAGATTCAAGCCACGTCCCCTGTCGCTAGTCGCTTGGGCGTGGATAGGGGTCAGATCCTGGAGTTAAGGTTGCCTACTACTCCTAGGTGGCTGGCTTTGAGGACGAGGAGTTGGAGGACGGGCCTCGGGCGAGCGGCGCTCGGGCGGGCGGGGATGGTGCGGCCGCGGCGGTAGAGACGAGGGAAGAGGCGGCGCGGAGAGAGGGCGGGGCGGCGCGGAGAGAGGACGCGGCGGCGGCGGCCCGCGCGCAGGAGGAGGCGCGCGCGGCGGTGGAGGCGCGCGCGGCGGAGGAGGCGGCGGAGGAGGCAGCGAAGGCGGAGGAGCGCTTGGCGGCGCAGGAGCGCTTGGCGGCAGAGGCGGCGGCGAAAGCCGAGGAGCTGCGTCTGGCTGCGGCGGCGGCGGCGAGGGCGGAGGCTGAGCGCTTGGCGGCGGAGGCCGCCGCCAAGGTGGAGGCTGAGCGGTTGGCGGCGGAGGCGAGGATCGCGGCGGAGGAGGCGGCCGCGGCGGAGGCGGCGAGGATAGAGGCGGAGGCGCAGGCGAAGAGGGATGCGATCGCGCTGGCGAGACAGACGACGAAAGACGCGCTCACGCGCTCGATCCGCCTGTCTGGGCCGAAGCGCAAGAAGCTGCTCCGCGACCTGCAGGTGCAGTGGCACCCGGACAAGCAGCTGGACAGCGGCGAGGCCACACGTGAGCTCGCGAGTGAGCTGTCGCAGCTCATCAACGAGGCGATGGCCAAGGCCAAGGCGAACGCGAAGGCGAGAGGAGAGGAGTGGTAGCGCGGTAGGATGGCGGTCTCTCTCCCGAAGGGGACGGAGGTAGGTGCTCTGTGTGTACGCACTTGGACCTGCCCATGCATGCCGGTCCGACTCAGACAGAGAGCACAGTCTGTCGGCTCAGAGACAATCTTACTCGCTGAGGGTTTTCTAAAAAAGAAAAAACGAAGGGCATCGCGGCACGCTCTATCGGCCTTGTGCATTCGGCCTTGTGAGGCTAGGAGTCCTACTTAGCCACATGCTGGTCGAGTCCTGCCGAAGCCTCGTCCTATCCCTCGCGTCTCTCGCGGTGCTGCCCTCTCGCGCCATGCCTGCTGATCTCCTCGGCGATGCTGATCTCCTCGGCGACATCGGGTCTGGCATTGATCTGGCAGCGATGGCGGCGTTCGAGTGCTCGTGCGATTGGACAGAGCGGTTTCCTTACACTAACTGCTGGTTTGACGACGGCACCGAGTGCTTCAGCTACTGCTGTGCGCCGTCTCCTTCTCCTTCTGCGCCTCCGACACCTCCAAGCTACCCGCCTCCGCTTGCCCCTCCATCCGCCCCGCCGCTGCCCACGTGTGAGAGATGCGACGCGGGGACCGAGTGTGGCTACTGCCTCATGCTCACCAGCCGCTGCTACATCTCCGAGGCCTGGACGTGGCGCGATACGTGCAGCAACGCGACCGCGGCGGGAGAGCTCTGCTACGGGGATGACAGCTGCGGCACCGACAGCGATGTGAACACTTGCCTCTTGGCCCCGCTCGGAGTCGTCGCGACGTACACGCGGGTCGATTGCACGTGGGCTCCGCCGTCGCCTCCGTCGCCGTCCCTCCCGCCGCGTCCGCCAGCGGGGCCGGGGGAGTCGGCCTATCTCCCGGCGCCGCCATCGCCCGCCACGCCCTCCAACGGAGTCCTGGGTCAGGGGGCGGCGGATGACGGAGACAGCGGCTTCTTCGGCCCGATCTCGCTCGCGTGGTCCATCGTCATCTTGGTGTGGGCGGTCCTCACGCCCGTGCTCCTCTGTATCCTGTGCTACTACGCACGGCTCAAGGGGTGGTGGTGCTTCGCAGGTCTCAGCTCTCAGCCTCAGCCTCAACCCCACCCCGCCCCCATCCTCACCCATCACCCCTCACCCTCATCCTCACCCCTCAACCTCCAACCTCTGCAGGCCGTGCGGCCACTGAGCCGCCGCCAAGCACTAACCTCGGCTTTGGAGGCACCCTCGTGATCGAGGATGGGCCGGCGCCCGGAGGAAAGATGCCGATGCGCACATCGGCGTGAGCAAGCGTTCGGTGCAGCGAACAGCGCTATATCGCGGCAAGAGCCGTAAGTCCATAGGAGCGAGAGGAGAGAGGGGGTGTGCCTCCGCCGTGTACAAACAAATCGGGAGAGGGAGGTCTGAGCTGTACCCTAGACCTCTGTGTACTTGTGCCTCCTATATACCTCTTTGTGGAGAGCTCGAGTGACACAGTGACAGTCTCTCATGGTCATGCCCGCGGCTACAAATATCGTCCGTTACCGCGTGGAGCGTGGTCTCGAGGGCGTGGTGGCAGCCAGCTGGGCTGCCACACATCCCGAGTGTCGTACCCGACCCTAGTGCCTAGAGGTAGAGACGGCCTCTTGATGATGATGTACTTGAACTCGCGCGTGTGTGTGCCTCCTTGTACCTTTGGTTTAACACTTTTCGGAGAGCTGCCTCTGAGCTCTGTGCACTGTGGCGGCCATGACTGTGGCAAAGTACCCGCTCGAGACGCAGGCTCTATTGTTGCAAACCTCCGCTTTCGCCTCTGGCTCTGCCGTGGGCGTGGCCCGTGCGCGTGCCGCGTGCGCCCGAGACGTATGTGTGTGTGTTTCCCTAGGTGTTTCCCAGTACGTGTGCAGTAAAAATCGAGTCTCTCTACGGCTTTACTAAAAAAAAATTGCTAGCTCAAAAAACCGGCACACCAATCTCCCTTCCTCTCTCTATCCTCTCTTGGAGCTCCAGAGTCCACACCCCCCTGCCCCGGGATCGCGTACAAGCTATGGCTACCGTAGGCCACACTAGCGTCGCTGGGGGTTCCCTGCCCTAGATGGGAAGCTGGCCGCTGATCCGAAGACCGACTGCACCAGGGCGCCTAGATATACTCGAGGTGAGCGAGGGTGAAGTTACGCCTTAAATGCCGGCCTCTCTACTGTGGACCTTACTCCGAGCTCGTTGGCTCCTCCTATTCCCCCACCCCCCCTCCCCCCCCACTCTCTCCGAGCAAGGGCGTGCGCTACGTCCCCAAGGGGGGGGGGACGTGGGGGGGAGGTGTGGCGCTTAGGTTGTGGCGTTTGGGTTGTTGTGGGGCACCCAAACGGTTTCGGTTTTCCTCCTTGGTGCCCCGAGTAGAGCGCGATCTCCCCTGGAGTCTGTCGCGCCCGTTCTGTCTAAGCTCGAGGTTCAACCTTCCAGTTGATCCTTATCGGACTGGTGAGGTCTGCCTAGCCGTCGTAGTGTAGTGCCTGGGGTGCGTCTGCGTCGGTGCTACACACACTCGGCAGGACGCTGCTCAAGGTCGTTGCTGCTGGTCGTCGCTGTTTGTCAAGGTGATAAATAGACTCTCACAGTGACTTCTTTGTGTGGCCAAAAACATGTCCGAGATAAACCCGAACCCGGGCCTTTAGATCGGGGTCGAAGGTGCTACACACACTTGCCCCCTGGTGGTCTGGCACTCGGCGTTATTCCTACTGGGGTTAGGCTGTTTTTCTTTTATTTTCTGAATCTCGGGGGGGAGGGGGGAAGTGGGTTCCGGTGTTTTTTCTTTGCACTATGCACATACGTAAAGTGCAAAGTGCAAAGTGCAAAGTCCAAAGACCAAAGTGCAAGTCGCCCTCGTGTTTTTCTTTTTATGCTTTGGCAGTAAAAAGAACTGTGTGCGGCAGGCGCAGGCTCGGCCGATATCCAATACTTCGACTCACATCTTCGCTGCGGTGTGCCCGGGGAGGCGCGGCGGCGGGGTGGATTGAGAAGGCTCAGAGTGCAGAGAGACTGCAGGCGTGCAGAGGCGCGCGCTGCAGTTTCTCTGATCGGGCTGCTGGCGGTGTGAGCGCGGGGTGGCGTGGTGAGGCGTGAGGCAGGCTATTGTTGTGGAGTGCGGGCTGCATCGTCAGGCGTATGCGTGCACATGGTGCTGTATGCTGTGTGTGCAGGCTGGCAGTCTGTGCAGCAGAGAGCGGAAGCGCGCGCGCGGGCGCGCGCGTGCGGGCGTGCGTGCGCGCCTGCGCGGTGCCGGATCTGCGTCTCACTCGCGGCGCGTCCTGGTACAGCCGCTTATGAGATGCCAGGAGCAGTCTGCAGAGCCTGCACAGGGCGCAAAAAGGCGCAGGTGTGCTGGTGAGGTGTGCTGCGGCGCGCGCGTCGCGGCGTGAGTGGATATGCGGCTGCCTCTGGTGGTGCGAGGGGCGCGCAGCTGGTGCGGGCGGCGCGGGACGGCCATGGGGCGCCAGCACAGGGCAGACGCACATGGGCACAGCTCTGAAAGGCGCTGCGCGTGTTTGCGTGCGCGCGGGGACGTACGCGCAGTTTTCACGCGGTGTGCCTGGAGAAGGGCATGAGAGGCGCCGGCCGCGCGTGTATTGGCGTGTGGGAGTTCGGAGTATGCCCGGAGGGCGTGATGGTGCCCGAAGGGCGGTCCTCCATGCGGAGGTGAACCTTTTCAAAAAGAAAAGGTCTCTACGGCTTTACTCTCTTCTGTCTCTCGAGTCTCGTGTCCATCCCTCTCTCCAAACGCGATCTGTTTTATTTATTATTTTATTCGTCTGTCCCCCTCCTCTGCCTCTCACCCATCTGGAAACACTATTCGCCCCGAGACGAACCCGTTATCTGAATGGCCCTCGTGATCAGTCCCACTCCCACTCCGCCTCTGACGTCTGCTGGTCTGCACATCTGCGCCGACAGCGGTGGCGTTATCGGCCGTGCTGCGCCTCCGTCGTCCGCCCGCAGCCATCAGACCGAGCACAACCCTCTCCTCCGGCGCGGGCGTCCGCACCAGAGTCAACGGCGACGCAGCAGGAGCCGCGGGCGGCGCGGGCGGCGGCGCGGGGGGCTCGGAGCAGCGCTGCGGCTTGGCCCACCTCGCTGTGGCCACTGCCCGGCGGCCGCCTTCGACCGCAGGGGCGGCGGCGCGGAGAGGTGCGGCTGCGGCGCCAGCCGCGTGCGCGGCGCCAGCCGCGGCGGGCGTGGCGCCCGAAGCGGCGGCGCCGCCGCTCTCGAACAAGAGCTGGTTGAGGTCGAGCGTGGGCGGCAGCCATGGGATGGACAGGGGCGCGGGCACGCGATTGCTGCCTCGCCACGCCGCCCACTCATCGGGCGGGAGGCCGACCTGAGCAGCTTGATGAATTCGTTAGGTCGTTCATTACTTCGTCCGTTCGTGGCGAGAGGCGGACCTGCTTGCAGAAATGAACATCGGAGGCGGTGGTCACCGCGCCTGGGCGGGGGGGGGAAGTGGGGAGTGGGGAGTGGGGAGTGGGGAGGGGGGAGTGGGGAGTGGGGAGGGGAGGCGGGGCGAGGGTGCAAGGAGGGCGCGGGAAGTGGACGGGTGCGGCGAGGTGCGGCGAGCGGCGAGCAAGGGGCGCCGAGAGTGGGCGTCACGCCGAGCGCCGCGCACAGCGCCAGCCGCGGCTTGATGCGTCGCTCGAGCGACGCGGCGAGGTGGCGTGGCCGGAGGGTCGGGTCGGGAGGTGACAGCACGCCCGCCTGTGAGGAGGGTCCGAGAAGGTTCAGGGGAGGGGTGCTGCAGAGGCTTCGGGGGGTGTGGGGGGTGGGGGGGGGGGGGGGGGCACCCCTCGGCGAGGGCGAGGGCGGTGGGACGGAGGTTGGCCTCCAGGGAGAGGGTGAGCACCGCGGGGTACTGCGTTAGGAGCGGTCCGAGGGGCGCCATGCCGAGCGAGCGCAGGAAGTCCCACTTTGGCGCCAGGCTGGACTGCGTCGAGAGGGACAGCAGCGACGGCTGCGAGGAGAGGACGCGGCCGAACTCCTCGACGCCCTCCCGCTGCAGAAAGGACACCGTCGGCTTGAGGTTCGCCTCGAGCGACAAGTCGAGCGTGATGGCGTGCGAGCGGACAACGCGCCCGACGTCGACGCCGAGCGAACGGAGGTAGTCCGCCGTCGGCCTCAGGTTCGCCTCGACCGAGACGCTGAGCAGCTGCGGGTAGCGGACGAGCGCCGCTACGGCGGCCGCCTCCCCCGCCTCGGAAGCGAGGAAGGCGTGCGAGGCGGCGAGGCGCGCGGGCTCGAGACCAACCACGGGAGGGAAGGACGCAACCAGTCGCCCCAGCGCCGCGGCGTCGAGGCCGAGAGTCCGGCCGAGCCAAGAGAGCGAACGGCGCGCGCCGTCGCCCGAGGCGAGCTGCCGCGCCGGCGACCAGCGAGAGACTCTGTCGACCGCGCGCTGGTCGAGCCCCATCTCGCGCAGCGTCTCGAGCACGGGGGAGGAGGCCTCGGCGCGCCAGAGCAGCGCCTGCGGCTGCCGTGCCACGAACTCTGCCGCCGACCGGTTGGCGGCGCACACAAAGGGCTCGAGGTAGTCGAGCGCAGCGCGCAGCTTCACGTCGTCGAGCGTCAGCAGCAGCGGCTCCGCCGCGATCAGCTGCGCGGCGGGAGGGAGCCCCTTTGTGTCTCGCAGCGCGGCGAGCAGCGCGGCCGGCGAATGCGACAGCAGCGGCGGTAGCGCACGCGGCTGCCTCGCCAGCAGCTTTGCGAGGCGGTCGGGAGCAAGGCCCGCCGCGTCAAGCTCGGAGATGGACTGCTCAAGCGCCGCTGCCGATGCCGACATGCCGCCTGGTGCCTTGGCTGCGCGCTCGGCCAGCCGTCTCAAGGCCGCACCTCGCACGCCGATGCGAACGAGCACAGAGCGCACGTCGGCCGCGGCTGTGAGTGCTGACGCTGCGACGAGCACGGCAGCCGCGAGGAAACACATACTCTCGCTACACCTTCACTGCCACGTCCGTGCCGTGCCAGCCTGCCAGACACTTTGCGAGAATCGTCTGAGATTCCTCTGGCGGCAGCGGCAGTTGGCTGTGGCCGAGCAAGGCGCGACACACACGCGCTTCGCCCGAGGGGCGGCCGATTTCTTTTTTGGTGTTTTGCCAAAGAGAGCCAGTCCATGCCCAGTGTTGTGCGAGGGAGTTTGGTTGTAAAATTCTTTTTTGGCAGTTCTCGCATCACCTAACGAGCAAAATTCCTCCCAGACCCGTTCGTTGTACGTCGAAGTTCCCTGCAGGTTCCGTCTTGGCCTGTCCGAGGGTTTCCTCTCGCACCCTACCTGGTTTCCTTTCCGTGTTTCCTGCTCGTTTCCCTACAACACCCTCTAGTTTCCTCGGGAAACCCCGGGGAAACTCCGTGGAATTCGTCATTTTGGGGGGGCTCTGAGCCGTGTCTGAGGCTGTTTTGGGGCCAAAATCGGCAAAATACCGGGTATTTTGCGGGTATACCTGGAAAACCCCGGTATACCTGGAAAATACCTGGGTATCGTGCCGATTTCCTCAATTTTGCCCCAGATTTTGCCCCAGACCAGCTCTCAGACTCAGGGAAACTCGCGAGTTTCCCGAGGGAAACTCGAGAGAAACAGAATGGAGCACCAAACACCCTCTGGTTTCCCTGGAAACTTCCGGAAACGCAAAGTGCTGGGGACCCTCTGGTTTCCCTCTGGGTTGCCGGAAACCCTCGGACAGGCCAAGTTCCGTCCCTTGGTGGGATGAAAGCAGAAAGAAAGGGGGGTCCGCCGCACAAGCCGGCTCCGCCGCTCACGGGGTTTTGCCCTCTCCTGAGTTACCCTAGCCGTCCCAACCTACCGGAGGGGCGGCGGGTCGTCGTCGCCGTCGAGCGCGGGCACGTCGTCCTCGACGACGTCGAAGCTGCACTCGAAGGCGAGGTCCACCCCGGTCACCGACGTCGAGAGCACGTGCACCGCGAGGCGGTACGTCCCCGCCTTGTCCGGCGCCGTGAAGCCGCACTCCTGCGACGGCTCGACCGTCTGCGCGTTCAGGTCTTTGACGACCATCGGCTGCGCCGAGAGCAACGAGTTCGGCGTCTTTGGCTCGTCCTTGAGCCCCTCGACGTACAGCCTACAGCGAGACGGCTCCGGCACGGCTCCGGACTAGGCTCTCCGAGCAGGCGGCGGGCGCGGCCTACGTCGGCGTTGCCAATACGCCTCGTAGATGCCGTCTTGACTGCTGGCCGGCGGCGGCTCGTCGCCGTCGATGCCAGCATGGTGCCGCAGCAGCGCAACCTTGACACGGAGCTGAGGCGCGCGGGGCGGAGCGGCGTGAGCGGCGGGAGGCGGCGGGCGTACAGGCGCCGCAAGCAGGGGGAGGAACGGGTGGAGGCGGCAGGGCGGCGGCAGAGGCGGCGGCGGATGGAGGGGCAGCGGAGCGCGAGGGGCCGGGACAAACCTGCGCTCCCGCCATCACCTCCTTGGGCTCGCAAAACGCCTCGAGGCGCAGCTTTGGGCGGCGGAGGCCCTCATTCTTGAGGATCTTCGCCATCAGCACCTGCGCCTCGAGCTCGTCGGGCGACCTACAGGAAGGTTCCAGGAAGGTTCCAGGAAGAGCTCCTCTCCACATCCACCGCGAGCGCGTCGTGCTGCCAGAGCTGGTTCGCGATGAGCGCCGAGGTGCGCGCGACCGCGAGGATGGCGTGCACCCACCGGTACTGCGGCAGGTACATCTGCGCCTATCGCAGACAGCATCCGAGAAGCTTTAGCGGCGGCACGAGGCGGGGGTTGCAGCGCGCGGCAGCAGCATCCGGCGCCTGCACGAGCAGTTTGGTCGCCAGCTGCACCGCGACCGAGGCGTGCTGCGCGGTCGGACCGTCCAGATCCGCGTCCTTCTCCTTCAGCGCCGCCCGCTGCCGGTTGATCTGCCACAGCATCGCGATGGCGTGGTTGCGCGCGGCGCCGCTCGCTTTGTCCACCCAGTCCATGTCAACCTTCTCCGCACGCATCGCCTCCTCCAGCTCGCTGATCTTGGAAGGCACGTCCGCAGGGATGATCCGGCACATGCACGGCGCGGTCGCCAGCGCGAGCAGCACTTCGTTGACCGGGATCGTCCTGTTCGGGTCCTCTGGAAGCGGCTTGAGCGCCTCGCTCATGTGAGTCACGTCCTCCATCGCCTTCTTCATATGGTCCTCCGAGGGCATCTTCATGCCCGGCGGGAGGTGCTGGGCCATCTGCGAGAGGTCCATCCTGAGTCGACTGGGACAGCGAGCTCGTCTCGGAATGGCTGCGACAAAAGAATCCATGCACCTTCTTCCCTTGGGTTGTCCGTTTTCTTTCTTTCTTTCTTTTCTTTCTTTCTTTTTTTATTGAGAAGGAAATACCTCCTTGCACCTTCTATAGCCTCATCTCACATCTGGCCGGGTGTGGCAAGGTTGAGTTTCTGTGACTGTGTTTCTATGGGCGTACACCGTTAGTTTATTCCAGCCTGCGCCGTCATCTTCCCTACTCCTGTGGCCCGCCCGCGTCCACTCACACCGCGCTGGTGACTGTCGCTGTGGTGTCCTGTCCGAACTGGAACCTTCGATACACACAAATTGTATCATACATACATTTAAACATACGGACTAAGGTAAGGTCACCGTCATCTACAAGGTGTGGAACGAGGCGAAGAACAGAGATGTCTCTGGGCGAGATGGTCGCTTTGCTGACTGCTCTCGTCAGTGAGCCGGCAGCGGCAGCGGCAGCGGCGGCAGCCGTGGATTGAGGCCGATCTTGGCAGTAGCTTCGAGTCTGGGCTTCCTCGGCGGGATGAGGGATCCCGATGGCGGCATCGCTCGACAAACCACATGACATTGAGAACCATCTTTGCGCGCATCACCATCACCATCAGCCATCACGTTTTCACGTTCCTCGAGTCACGTTCCACGACCCGGGATGCGGGCTCCGGGGTGGTTTTGCGAGTAGATCATTCTCGTCCGTAAAGCCGTAGGCGTAGCGGGTTGTGGCGTCGAAGAGTAAGGGGGGAGCGAAACACCGGAGCTAAGTGTGTGTGTACGGATAGGGCTGTCAAACGTTAAGAGCTGAACAGTGTTGCTAGTGTTAACAGTAACAACAGAACAACAGTGTGGGGCTCCCCAACAACAGTAGCTAACGTTAGGCCGGCTGAACAACAATACCAACGAGAGCTAGGGAGCGCGAACAACACTTGCGCCTGCCCCAGCCACTAGCAGATAGCAGATACAGCCCACAGGCCACAGGCCACAGCTCAAAATTTGCTTCGGCTCGCTGCGCTCGCGTGGCTCCGGCGGACGGAACGCCGCCACATCGTACCCGCTCAGAGACCCGAGATCATAGTCTGAGGTTATCCTAAAAGTTCGGCCGATTTGGGTCAAAACGCTAAAAGCACGGCTAGCCGTAGATTTGGGGCAAAACGACAAAAGTGGGCCCGCCCGGGGCAAAATGGTAAAAGTCGCGCCGCCGCAGGCGCGCGAAAATTTTGGACATTATACTCTCCGGCGAATGCCACTAGCCCCCCCAAGCCGGCAGATGGTACCTCGGCAGCTGCAACCAAGCCAGCGGGTGAAGTGTTGTGGGAGGATGCGTCCTTATGTGTCACAAACTTGTAGCGCTACATGTTTGGACACACACCGGCGGGCGCTTTCGAGGGGCGAGCGGCAGCATTTTTTTAGCCATAGTGTGCGGGAACTACTTTGCCGTTGCGGGACGATAGGGATAGCTAGTACTTGCTGCACCCGCGGCGCGCAGCGCCGAAGAAATTTTTGAAACATGCTAAAAGTTGGGCGCTCCGAGACGACCAAAGTGGTAAAAGTCGCACTCTCCCCTGACCCAATCAAAAGCGTAAAAGCACCCGAGGCTCCAGCAGAAACCTAACCCTCAGACTATGCCCGAGATGATCTCCGATGGCTCCCGGTAACCGTCTACGAGGGGCGGGCGTGGAGCAAGTGGGTCCGCCCTTGCACGAGAGCACGACGGTGGTACGAGAAACCCCAACCTAGAGCACTCGAGCTGTGATGCGGCTCAGTCCACGATCACGAGCTGATCGTCCTCGGCCACGAGTTCACAATGAAGTGCACAATGAACTCGGCGATCCTCTGCACGTTGCGCAGAAAGGCTGTGCGGTCCACGCGGCGGCAAACAATGTAATCTCTGATGCTCTGCACATGCTCATTCGTCAATGCCCTCCTCACACTCGGCAATTGCCGCATCTGCAGCCCCCTGCTCCATATCCCGATACTTCTTGAGTGCTCGGTTTAGCGGCGCCTTGCCGCCGCACTTCTCGTACAGCTCCTCGAGCTCGACCCAGCGTGTGTCGGTGAAGCCTGTGTCGTGCTGGTCCTCTTTGAAAGTGCCGCGCGTGAGGTAACAAATTGTCTTGTCGGCAGCAGCCAGCTTATTGCGCCGCTTCTTTGCAATGAGCTGCTCGGGATCACAGCAGCCGAGCAGCGCGGCATGCCGAGCACCGCCTCAATCTTGTAGCAGAATGTCGGCGCGACTGCGTCGTCCGCACCGCCGTCTGCAAGCCGCGCGCGGCGCTGCGCCGCAGCCACCTTCTGGCACGCGTAGCGGCAACAGATGGTGCGGTGTGCGTACTTGAGCACCCGGTGCGCACCGCAGTTGGCGCAGGAGCCCCTTGGGCGGGAGTAGGGCGTGCGCGGCATGTGTGGCGCGGCGCGGGTAAAACCCGGGTATACCTGAAACGTTTCGGGTATACCCGGGTTTTACCCGGGGTGCTCAACGTTAACAACAGGAGCGGCGCTTGAACAACAGTAACAATAACAGAAGCGGGGCCCGGCCAACAATAAACAACGTTGGTGATTTCAGCCAACAGCAACACTAGCGCAACTGTTAGGCCCCAAATTAACGTTTGACAGCCCTATGTACGGAACCTGTGCATCGTCAAAGCGCCTGGATTTTTATTCGTGTCGTAAGGGGCGTTACCTGATACCTCGTGTCGTAGGCGCGTCTCCACGTTACCTTCTTTCTACGGAGGACCCCAGTGCAGTCACTGTGTGATCAGAGCTCCTCCTTCCCCCCGCCACCCGCGGCGCCTCCCTCTGCGCCCGCGCCGCACCCCTCCTGCTGGAACATGTCCGCGAGGGCCGAGAGCCCCTGGCCCTGGCCGCTCGCCGACGCGGCGTACCAGAGGTTGACCGCGAGGTTTCGCCTCGCGCCCCGGGAGGTCGAAATGACGGCGTGGTGCCAGCCGCGCGGCAGGAAGAGTGCGTCGCCCCTCCGCACCTCGCAGAGGGAGGGCGACGCCCTTGCGACGGCGGGGTGCGTGCTCGCCACGTCGTCCGCAAAGACGTTGAGCTTGGCGACGTTGTGCCGCACCTGAATGAATGAGGGACTCCATTTACACAGTCATGCATTCGTCCATAGCTTGGCGACGTTGTGCCGCACCTTGTCGAAAGTGGTCTCGTTGGTCACGCCGCCGGCCTACGCGCTGTGAGCACACCAACCTCGGGGCGGGAAGAGCGGCCTCGTGCGGCGTATTCAGAGCACCGCGTGAGCACGAGGGTACGAATACAGCGAATACAGCGGAAGACGTGTCCTCACGAGCGCTAGTTGGAGTACAAGAATACGTGTCCTTCCGCGTCTAGTGCCGCCGGCCGCGAGGTCGAAGCCGTGCCTATACCCGTTGTTTAATTAGTGAGTCACGCAGTTCGATTAGTTCGACCTCGCCGCGAGGTCGAAGCCGTGCCTCCGGATGGTGGCGGCGCCGTAGTAGAGGTGCTTCGCGTCGGCGGGCGGGAAGAGCAGCGCGCGCTTCGTGCCGCGGAGCTGGTAGAGTAGGATATCGTACAGGTCAGAGTATTATTAGTACTATTATCATCATTACTATCTCCACCTGGTAGAGCAGGTTGTCGTACAGGTCAAAGTGGAGCCCGTTCTTCATGAGCGCGCCGCCCACCCACAAGTTGGCGATGGAGAGCGACGAGGGCGGCAGCGCGGTAGAGAGGCAGACCCCGCGCAGCAGCGGCGGGAGGCGGAGCAGGTTGAGCTGCGCGAGGTACGCCTCGAATGGGACCGCCTCCGCCGCCTACAGACACCAGGGCGGGCTCCAAACGGGCCCCGCAAGGGCGCGATCGAGGCAAACCCGCCTCCGCCGCCTCGCCAGTCAGCTTGAGGAAGTCGGCCACGTACACGGAGCAGCGCGCCGGCTCCACGAGCGCGTCGGCGGCGGCGTCGAGGGTGGGGTGGGTGGTGGTGGGCATCGCCTAGAAGGCTCCTAGAAGGCTCCTAGAAAGGCTCCTAGAAGGCTCCTAGAGGGGGGGGGGGTTGGGCATCGCCATCATCTCGACGAGCGTCTCGCCCACCGCGGCTGCGATGGCGGCGTCGTCCCACGCGTTCGCCGCCCAGCCGGCGGTCGCGTTCCGCAGCAGCAGAGGCCCGCCGGTGAGCAGCGCCTGAGGAAGGTTCCGGGGAAGCTCGGGGAAGGGTCCGAGCAGGTGCCAACGCCCCGAACACGAGCACGGCGCCTCTGGCCCCGCCGCCAGCACAGCCTCGAGCGTCGACTCGGAGCAGCGCGGCGCCTCCTCGAAGATGGGCGGGTACCTCGCCTCCGCACCCACCTCCACACCCACCTCCGCACCCGCCCCCGCCAGCCTCGACTCGCCGAGCCTTGCGGAGTCTCCTCCGCCGCCGCCTCCGCCGCCGCCGCCGCCTCCGCCTCCGCCGCCGCCGCCTCCGCCTCCGCCGCCGCCGCCGCCGCCGCCTCCTCCGCCGCCCACCTCGGCCGCCCTGCCCGCCGACTTGCGCTGCGCTAGCCAGTCGCGCAGCGCAGTCGCGGAGCTGACCGCCGCCTAGAAGGTTCCTAGACGGCTCCTGGAAGGTCCTGGAAGGCTCCTAGAGGGCGGAGCTGACCGCCGCCTCGTCCGCCGTGGAGGCGGCGGCGAAGGCCTCCGCGGCGGCGGCGGGGTCGGAGGCCTTGAGCGCCGAGGCGAGGCCCGCCAGCGCGTTCGCTTGCTTCGGGTTGTGCTGCAGCGCCTCGCGAAAGGCGGCGGCGGCGGCGGCGGTGTCGCCGGCAGAGCGCAGGGAGAAGCCGAGGGCGGCGTGCGTGGCCTGCAGGGAGACGCCCATGACATGTCCGGGACATGTCCGCACCTCAGCCATGTCTCTGCGCACGTCGCCCGCCGCGTCGGTCGGGTCGAGGGCGAGGGCCGCTCGCAGGGCCGCCGCCGCCTCGCCGTGCCTGCCGGACACGCCAAAGACACGTCACGTCTTCGAGCTCCGCCGCCGCCACCGCCGCGTCGGTCGGTTTTTGGTCTGTCGTCTGTCGGTGTCTGTCGGTGTGTCTGTCGGTGTGGCGGTCTGTCGGTCTCTAAGAGACCCAAGGAGCAAGAGACGCTGGCCCGGCGCCTGCTCGCCGCATCGAGCGCGAGGCCGAGGTTGGAGTGGGCCGCCGCCCGCCGCGGCGAGAGCGCGATGGTCGCCTGGTAGGCCGCAACCGCCTCCTCGCTCCTCCCGAGGGAGGCGAGCGCGTTGGCGCGGTTGTACGTCGCGTCCGCGTCCGCCTAGTACCATGCCTCCAGAGTATCGAATCCAGTGTGGGTTCAGGTCTTCCGGTGGTGGTGTCCGCGTCGGCCGGGTTGAGCTCGAGCGCCGCGGCAAAGGCGTCGGCGGCGCCGGCGTGGTCGCCGCCCATCGCGAGCGCGTTGCCTCGCCCAAAGTGCGACTCGAAGTCGCGCGGGTTTAGCCTGACGGCGGCGGCAAACGCGTCCGCCGCCTCGGCGTGCCTCGCGGCCTTGTGCAGAGCAACGCCGCGGTTGTGGTGCGCGTCGGCGTTGGCCGGGTAAGCCTTCAGCACGCGGTCAAACATGCCGAGCGCCTCGTCGAGCCGCCCGAGGCCCTGCAGCGAGAGGCCGAGGTTGGTCGCCACCGCGAGCTGCTGCGCAGCGGGCACGGCGCCGGTGGCAATCGCAGCCTCGTAGGACTCGATCGCCTCGCTCCATTTTCCAGCCGCCTGGAAGCTCGAGCCGCGCTGCGCGAGAGAGACCCACTCGGGCGCAGTCTGCTGCGCAGCGGCGGAAGCGAGAATCGAAAACAGGAGGGCGCCGGAGCAGCCCGCGGGCCACATGTCGACTCTCATCGAAGCTGGTCGCGAGAGGTGGGATGAGAGACGCGAAAAAAAGACGGCTTGATGAATAAAGAAGAAAAAGAAACAAGAAAAAGAAACAGTACTGGAGCTTGCCGCGACCATTCTGGTCGCCGCGTGCTGCCCGTCTGTCTCGCCGCACGGCTCTTCCTATTCGCCGGCACAGAGCGCGGAATTGGATGCTCTTCGGCCTGCTCGCCTTGACGCCGGCACCGACCGGCGGGCGAGCACCCGCCGCCCGCGCCTCGGCGTCGGCCGCATCGCCCGGCGCGGCGACGGCGTCGGCGGAGCCGCACGCGGCGGCGGGCGGCAGCGCCCTCGAGCGCGAGGACGGCACGGTGTGGGAGCTGATCGAGGCGGAGGGCCGCCGGCAGCGCGATGGCCTCGAGCTCATCGCGAGCGAGAACTTTGCGTCTGCCGCCGTCCGCGAGGCGCTCGGGTCTGTGATGACGAACAAGTACTCCGAGGGGCTGCCGGGCGCGCGGTACTATGGCGGCAACGAGCACGTGGACGCGCTCGAGCGGCTCTGCCAGGCGCGCGCGCTCGAGCTCTTCGGGCTCGACCCCGACGAGTGGGGCGTCAACGTGCAGCCCTACTCCGGCTCGCCCGCAAACTTTGCCGCCTTCACGGCGCTGCTCGAGCCGCACGACCGAATCATGGGGCTTGACCTGCCGTCGGGGGGGCACTTGACGCACGGGTACTACAACGAGCGCCGGCGCGTCTCGGCAACCTCCATCTACTTCGAGTCGCTCCCGTACGAGGCGAGAGCGCGCGCACCCGCCACCCTGCACCGCCCCGCCCGGAATCTGTCCCACATCTGCCCCTATCTGCCCCTACCTGCCCCCAGGTGTCGGCCGAGACTGGCCTGATCGACTACGACGGCCTCGAAGAGCGCGCTCGGCTCTTCCGCCCAAAGCTGCTCATCGCAGGCGAGGGAGGGAGAGGGAGGGATAAGGGAGAGGGAGAGGGAGAGGGAGAGGGAGAGGGAGAGGGAGAGGGAGAGGGAGAGGGAGGGAGGGGGAGGGAGAGGGAGGGAGAGGGAGGGAGGGAGAGGGAGGGAGGCCGATCTGCCGCCGCGCCCGCGCGCAGGGGCGTCGGCCTACCCTCGGGACTGGGACTACGCGCGGATGAGGCGGATCGCCGACTCGGTCGGCGCGCTGCTGATGAACGACATGGCGCACGTCTCGGGCGGAGAGGCACGTCCACGACACGTCCGCGACACGTCCGCGACACGTCCACGACATGTCCACAGGCGCACATCTCGGGCCTCGTCGCGGCGGAGCAAGCCGCCGACCCGTTCGAGCACTGCGACGTGGTCACGTCGACCACGCACAAGTCGCTACGCGGGCCGCGCGCCGGCGTCATCTTTTACCGCAAGCGGTTCGAGAGCGCGGTCAACTTCGCCGTCTTCCCGTGCCTGCAGGCCCCTCCCCCTCCCTCCCTCCCTCCCTCCCTCCCTCCCTCCCTCCCTCCCTCTCAACGTCGCCGTCTCCGCGTGCCTGCAGGGAGGGCCGCACAACCACCAGATCGCGGCGCTGGCCGTCGCGTTGCGAGAGGCTCGCCCATCTCTCCCCCATCTCTCCCCATCTCACACACCACTGTCTTGAATCGGGAGGCGTCTTCTTCTCTCCCAACCAGCGCTCGAGAGGACACGCACTCAAACTTCTTCCCGCCGTAAACCGCGGTCTAACTACTCATGAGTAGGCGGGGCAGCCAGCTTTTCCGAGATCACCCGAGATCACCCGACATCACCCGACATCACCCGACATCACCCGACGTTGTAGGCGCAGCAGCCAGCCTTCCGCGAGTACATCCGGCGTGTCAAGGCGAACGCGAAGGCGCTCGCCGCCGCGCTCGTGGCGAGAGGCTACACCATCGTCACGGGCGGTACCGACAACCACCTCGTGCTCTGGGACTTGCGGCCGCAGCGCCTGACCGGCTCGAAGCTCGAGAAGCTCGCCGAGGCCTTCCGCCCTCCTCCCTCCGCCCTCCTCCCTCGCCTTCCGCCCTCCACCCACTCCTTCCGCCCTCCGCCCTCTTCCTCCTCCTCCTCCCTCTTCCCTCCTCCCTCTTCCCTTCTCCCTCCGCCCTCCACCCTCCTCCCTCCTCCTCCCTCCGCCCTCTTTTCTCCGCCCTCTGCCCTCCGCCCTCCGCCCTCCTCCCTCTGCCCTCTGCGAGAAGGTTCCGAGAAGGGTCCGAGGCGGGCGCTACCACGCCCCGCCCGAGAGAGAACCTTCTCGGAACCTTCTCGGAACCTGCTCGGAGCCTTCCTGCAGGCGGTCGGCATCACGCTCAACAAGAACGCGGTGCGCGGCGACGTCTCCGCCGCCACGCCCGGCGGGGTTCGCATCGGCACGCCGGCGCTGACAACGCGCGGTTTCGGCGAGGCCGATTTCGTGAGGGTGGCGGAGTACTTGCACGAGGCCGTCGAGCTGGCGCTTGCGCTGCAGCAGCGCTCCGGAACAAAGCTCAAGGACTTCGTCGCGGAGATGGAGGCGGAGCCCGCCGTCGCCGACTTGCGAGAGCGGGTGCGCGCGTTCGCGACCGAGTTCCCGATGCCCTGAGAGTCTCAGTGAGAGAGGAGAGTGGCCGTGTGGCCGTGACGCACGAGCGGCGTGCGCCGTGCGGGGAGACGTGCAGAGAAGTGGGCACTCTCTCATTTCCATGCCCTTCGCGTTTCCACGCGCCGCCGTTGATCAACGCCGTTGTGTTCCCTGCTCATGGTAGACGGCCGCAAGCGAGTCGCTGAAAAAAAGAAATTTGGCTCACTGGCATCACACCTCGTCGCTCTGGGGGGAGGCGAGGGCCCTAGGGGGTACCCATGCGGGGGGGAGATGGGGTCCCCCAGCCCGCCGCAGGCGCCGTGGCATTTTTTCTTTTCTGCTCAATTTTTTACTTGTTTTCATGGGAATTCGGCGTACTTGCGGCCATGCTATCACGCCTTGCGACATCCTTTCGGCGCTGCTGACCGTGCCATGCTGCTCAACTGACCGCCTGCATAGCTCGCGGCCTTAGTCTTCGGCATTCAGTGACGACCTGATCGTACGGCCAGTAGGAAGGTGTCCTTCCATCGTGTGCACGCTTCTGACGCAATGCGCGTCACAAACTGCCTCGGATTGGCTGCTGGCACTCTCGAAGCTATGCCTACACAGCCTCGCGCGCATGGGCAGTCAAGAGGGACCACGCACCTTCTCAGGACAGCGCCGGTGCCTCTCTCTTGGACCGGCAAACGTGGTGGTCTCGTGTCACCGATGTGGGACCAGTGCGGCATCGCGCCATCGACAGCTCTGAACTGCGCCTCACCACTGACCGGGAAGGCCGCCAAGTGGGTCAGCATCGGTCGCACATTGTGGCAGCAGTCAGCAGCGCATGTCTGATAGCTAGAGCAGCAGCGTCAGGGTCGCAGGGTCGGATCGTGTCAAGCCTCTCGCCCGGCCGGCCGTGTGCAGACGTCGCGGCCTGTCTGCTGTCTGGAGTGATCTGTCGGCGGTCAGTACGACCGATCAGGTTGGAAGGTTCTTATGGTTAGAGGGTCTATCTGTATGTACTCCTCGAGATCTCTCCAAATCTGCCCTCTGATCAACCGTGATCATTCGGGAAGTCGGTGCTAGTAGAGACTAGTAGAGCCGGAGCCCCGTTTTTCCGCACTGCTGCGCGGCGCACGGTGCCTCCGGGGGCCCCCGCCTCCCCCCAGAGCCTCGTCGGGGGAGGTGTGCTCAGCAGGCTGTGCAGCGCAGCCTGCCTCACTCAGAGCGCCGCTGACGCGGCGCGGGGCCGCCGTCGGCGCTGCTGCCGCGCACGCTGCGCTGCCGTGCGGGGCCTGTGCGTCACCATCGAGCATCGTGTCCTCTGGCCGCGTTGCCGACGCCACTTGCCGCTCGCCGCTGCTGCCCTTTCCTGCCATCGCGCAAACACACACACACACACACACACACACACACACACACACACACACACACACACACACACACACACACACACACACACCATAGTTTTTGAATAAGAGGCGAGTCCCGCGCCCCAGATGCCAGTCAGGGCCTCCGCGGGAGATTTCTCATTTGTTACCGTGCTCTACCGCGCGTCCGCGCCTCTCTAGACCCTGACCCTCTAGAGGGTTGGCGCGGCAGTGTCGAGGGCGCGCGCCTCCGCTGCGAGACTGCGCGCGGCGGCGGCGGCCTCCTCTGGCGAGCGGCACACCACCACCCTGTCGAAGCCCTCCGAGGTGCGCGGAGCCACTATCCACGACGAGATGCGCCGCACTATCTGCTGCAGCTCTCGCGCCGACTTTGAGCCTGAGTCGACGTGCCCCTCGTGCGTGGCGCGGCGGAGCACGCGCCGCCGCGCCACGTGCTCCGGCACGTCGAGAAAGACGGCGACGCGCGAGGCGGGCCTCGCCCCACCCAAGTTGAGCCAGTGCGCACGCTGGTCGGGGTCAAAGTTGCAGCGGTCGATCAGGACGTGGCGCCGCTGCCTCAGCGCCTCGCGCGCGGCACGGATGCACTGCTTGCGCGAGCCAAGGACGTCCTGGGAGATGCGGGACCAGCGCTCCCTGCTGCTGCCGCCGCCGTCAGCGCTGCAGCTGTGTGCGAGGAGCAGCTCCGCAAAGGTGCTCTTACCCGCGCCGGGCATACCAACCATGACCACGAGCAAGCCTGGCACAGCCGTTGATTCGGTCGGCAAAGCTGCAGATGTCCCGGCTGGTTGTCCGCTCTCTCCCTCCACACACGCACACGCGAGGGAGTGTGGAGGTCGCTGCGTGCGCGGTGCCAGGTGTACCCAGTGTGCCGGAGCGCGCTCCGATCGGTGATGCGCCGTTGGAAGCATGCTAGCGTAGAGCTGGACGAGTGGGAGCATGATCGCTGGGAAACCTTGGGTTCGGGCTCCTTGCCGCTGGGGGGCTGCGTACGTTGTATTGTCGAGTATTGTAACTTGTACGTACTTTTAGCTTACTGGGAGAGAAGGGAGAGGGGGTTGTACGCGCGGCGTGAGAGCTTGGAAGCGAGCTTTGAACGGCGATCGAGGATGGCGCGGTTCTCTCATATATAACACTCTCTCTCTCTCATATATAGGGTGCCCACAGGGCCCAAAAAAGAAAGGAAAAAAGAAATGGGGCAAGCCCGATCGCAGCACTTCGTGTTGTACAGTCGAAATATTGAGATTGTGACCAGGAGGGAGGGACGCAGGGGATCTCAAAGGTATACCCTTGGAATGGCCGGATGCAGCCTTGAAAGTACGAGATCGCGCGCGCTTCGCGCGCTGCACCGCCTGTTCTCCGCGGCTGTGTGACGACGCGTGTGCCGTGTGCCAGCAGAGTTGGGCGCGCGCGGCGCGACGGCGCCCGCGAGGGAAGGCGCGGGTGCAGCGGCCGCCGGCGGTCGTACCGCTCGCCAGCCGGCGCAGCAGTGGCCAGCGCAGCGGCCGCCGGCGCAGCAGCCAGAGCAGCCGGTACGCGCCTTGCGAGGCGAGTACTCAGAGGCGGCCAGGCGGCAGTACTCGCTCGAACTTTGCGAGCTGTGCGCGCGCCGAGGCGCGCGCGGCGCGCGCCCGCCCGGCTGCCAGTAGGAGGCGGCGCAATATGGCCTATAGTACAGCCCTTGAGGAAGAGGAAGAGGCTGGCTGGCAGTGCTGTATGCCGCCGGGGGGCAGTTTTGGGGTGCTGACCCACGCCCAGGGGGCTGCAGAAGGCGTCCGCAACCGTGACAACCCGCCCCCCCAGCCGAGGCCGGTCGAAGCCCACTTGAGCACAGGCAGCCATGAGGAGTCCTCTTGGTGCTCCTGGCGGCCGTTCAAAGCTCGGGCGCACGCCGATGGGAGGTGGGTGTGTCTTGCTTGCTCCACACCGAGCGCCACCGGTCCGGACCGGCGTGCTCAATGAGGGTCGGCCTGCACAAGGATCAAGGTCTGTGCCGCGGCCGCTCGGCGCCAAGTGCAGTGTCACGCTCGCACGCGAGCGGGTCACAATGGGAAACCCCCGTTTCCTATTCACTCGCTGAGCCCTGGTCTCGACACCTCGACACCAAACCTCGACACCAACTCGACACCTCGTCCTCGACACCCCGTGCCAACTCGACACCCCTCGACACCCCTCGACACCCCTCGAGGTCGTAAAATACAAACAAATCAACCGAAACAAGTGCGCAAGAAACTCGCTGTGAGCATATTGGCCGGTTCGTTCGCCCTACCCTTGGTGTGAGTGAGTGAGTGAGTATTCTTGGTACAACGCTGGCATCTGCGCTTCTTTTACTTCTTCGCGCGGCCACCGATCGCCATATTGCACTCACGCGCGAACACGCGCACGCAAAAACGCGCGTGCACGGAACGATCATCGAGCATGCACGGGCTGATCCATGTGGTCCTGAAGGGCTTCGTGGTGGAGCGGTTCGGCGCGGAGAAGTGGTCTGACATCCTGCGAATTGCCAATGTCGAGGACGAGGCGAGCATCATACGCATGGAGCAGTACGATGACGCGCTGAGCCTGGCGGTGGTCGGGATCGCCCTGGAGGCGATAGAGGAGGTGGCATCGGTTATGGGCGTTTCTTTTTCGAAGAATCGCTTACTATTACTAGGTGCTCGACGTGACCAAGGTGGATGCGCTGGAGCTGATCGGGGGCTATTTTGTGGAATTCGTTGTCAGAGCGGGGTACAGCAAGATGCTCCGCTCCCTCGGAACGACGCTGGACGAGTTTCTGCTGAACCTGAACCAGCTCCACCACAACCTCGAGCGGGAGTTCCGGACGGCAGTGTTCCCGAGTTTCGAGATTTCCCGGGTCAAGACCAACCATGACCACGATCAGGAGGAGGAGGAGGAGTTCCTCCTGCGCTACTCCTCCATGCGCGCGGGGCTGGGGCTGGCCCCGCTGGCAAAGGGCGTGGTGCAAAAGGTGGCGTCGGTACTCTTCGACATGCAGATCGAGATCGAGGAGCTCAGCCGCGTGGAGTCGGAGCAGGTGGAGAGGAGGCTCGAGCAGCCGCTCGAGAGCTCCCTGGCGACACAGCGGGCGCCGGCGGAGGACGAGGATGCGGACGGCGGCGACGATGATGACGCCGCCGCCATCTCTCAGGGCGTGAGCTGGCTCATCAGGATCCCGCGGCCGCCTTCGCCCATAACGCCGCACTCGCCACCGCCAGTCGGGAATGCCCCCCAGCAAGCCGGCGCGGCGACGGGTCGTGCCGCCGAAGCATCATCATCGTCACCGTCCCTGTTCTCGTCCTTCGACCTGCACCAGGCGCTCTGCTCCGTGGGCAGGTGCTGCACTTCGGCTGCCTCCGCGGTGTGCTGCACTGTGGACTGTTCCGCCGAGTGTGCTGCGCCGCCGAGTGCGCAGGCCGCTCTCGACGACGTCGACGCCGCCATCTTCACCGCCCGCGGGGTGGAGATCGCGGCAGGGGAGCGGCTGTTTGTCGCCGCGGAGCTTTTCCGGGGCGTCCTCGCCTCCCAGGTGGCCGGTGCGTGGAGCGAGCCGGAGGCGCTCGAGCGGGCGGGCGACTTCTGGTCGAAGGACTTGCTGGCAAGTGCGGCGGCGGCGAGCAGGCGGCAGCGGGTGCTCGAGCGGGCAGGGGAGCAGCCGCCGCAGCCAACGGAGGACGAGGGGGGCGGCGGGTGCTACTACGCGTGGTCGAGAGAGGTCCTACTGCCACGCTGCGGCGGGCGCTACTACCACGCTGCGGCGGCGGAGGAGTGGATCCCGGGGTGGCAGCGAGTGCTCTTCGTCTCTCACGCCTGGTCGCCCCCGCCTGGCTGGGCGGAGCTGATGGGGGCCCAGTGCCGGTACGGCGACGTGAAGGCGGCAGAGGTGTGCATCGCCGCGAAGGATCTGGCCGGCCAGGCGAGCGGTAGGGGGGCGGCCGCTCGGGCGGACGCCGTGGCCGCTGGCGACGCCGTGCGTTGGGGGGAGGTGCGGCTCTGGATCGACAAGTGCTGCGTGCAGCAGGGTGACGCGGTGCAGGTCGCCACCTGCGTGGAGCTCTTCGAGGAGTTCATCCAACTCAGCGACGGCGTGCTGGTCTTGCCCGCCTGGAACTACTTCGAGCGGCTCTGGTGCGTCTACGAGTGGGCATGCTTCACCATGTTCCACGAGCCCGAGGATGTGGTGCTGTGCGCCGACGCTTTCTTGCGGCCGAAGTCCCTGCCGCTGTTCCTCAAGTCCATCAGGAACTTCTCGCTGGATCGCTGCCAGTGCTTCCATGCCCCAGACCGGGAGATCCTCCGCCGGAAGGTGGACCAGTACTACACCTCTGTCCGGGCGTTCGAGACCTTCGTGCGCTTCACCGCCGTTGCGTTCTTCGGCCGGTGCATGACCCACCGGGCCGGCCGCGCCTCCGCGCAGCTGGCGCCGTGGGCCGACCTCGCAGAGGAGTTCGGCTTCGCCGCTCTGGCGAGGGAGCTCCGCACAGCCGACCAGAGCTCCAAGCGGTGGCGCCGGGAGGCCTACCGAAGCGCCAGCGGGAGCCATTGGGAGGAGGCGGCGGGGGGCAAGAAGCTTCCGAACAGGGAGCCAGATCAGCCAACGGCAGCGCGGGCCTCCTCCTCGGGCGTGCAGGCGCTGATCTGCGAGAAATCGGACGCTTGGTTTTCGCGGCACATCGCGCCGCTGGTGGAGGTGGCCCGCAACGAAGCGGCGAATCCGGACGCGCTGCGGCTTGTGGCCCGGGGCCGATGCCAGGGCCGGCGTCGTCTCTTTTGTTACGCGTGACGTCTCCAAAAGTGCGTGTGTCTTTTTATGATAATACTTAAGGCCGCGACGCGTCTCATCATGCGTGCGTAATAGGCCGTGAAGACTGAGAGAGTGTTTTGCCTGCGCGCACTTACCCGGGGAGCACCCAACAAACTGGTAATGCTCAAAATCCCGGGGCGAGTCTTGCTGAGGGCGGGGCGCGGGGAGGTCTCCGGTAGTATGTGCTATGTCCGCTCGACTGCTGGACTGCGGCTACTCCCGGTGGGGTAGAGTTGCTGATCGGATGGCCCATAGTGCGGACCTCGTTAAAAGAAAGATAAAACAGACAACCCAAGGGAGGGAGACAGGCGTTCAATTCTGTGAGGTGCAAAATTCTATTAGAAGCCGTCGTCCTCGCTTTGCCTGTTGTGTGAATCGTGCCCTGTGCGAGAGAGGTTTTGGAAAAATTCTTTTTGGCGAGGTCGGCTCCAGAGCCTGAGGCCGCGGCGACTTGCCTGTAGCACACGTGCTGGTGCTCTCAAGGGGGCGATGCTCACACGTCGGGCCCTGCTGCGGCGCTCCTTACAAGTACAGCGCGCACTGCTTCGGTCGGCGCGGATTCCTCCTGCCAGCCTGAGGCGCGGCGTCGTCCTGCTACCGCGCCGGCCGCCGCTGCTGCTTCACTCGCGTGCGCTCGCTTCCAAGTCGAAGTCTGAGAAGGCACCTCCACCGGCGCGGTGGTCGCCGCAGTGGGTGTGGGACCACGCAAAGGAGATGGCGTCGCACTACTGGCACGGGAGCAAGCTGCTCGCCGCCGACACGCGGATCGCCTCGCAGCTGCTGGTGAAGATGATGCGCGGTCGCGTCCTCTCGCGGCGCGAGCACAGCCTGCTGGTGCGGGTGCTGGGCGATCTGCTGCGCGTCATCCCGCTCGCCTTCTTCCTCCTCGTGCCGATGATGGAGTTTGCGCTGCCGTTTGCGATCCGGCTCTTCCCAAACCTGCTGCCGTCCACGTTCGAGGAGAAGCACCAGATCGAAGAGAAGCGGATCAAGCTCCTCAAGGTGCGCGCGAGGGCGGCGCCGGCGGCACCTTGAGGGCGGCGGGGCGGCCGGCGGTGGCAGCTCCCACGGCGTCCCGATCCACCGACGTCCTCGGCTCACGGCGCCGGCGCTCGCCTCTGCGCAGGTGCGTCTTGAGGTGGCCAAGGTGCTGGAGCACACTCTGGAGGAGCGTGCGAAGGAGCTGAACAGGGCGACCAAGGCGAAGGCGGAGGCGGGCGGCGGCGACGCGGAGGAGCCGTACCCGCGCGACCTGTTTAGCAAGTTCATGCGACGGATGAGGGAGGGTGCGCGCAGCCGAGAGACAGCCGGGATGTGCGCGAGGTACGGCGAGAGATAGGGAGAGGAGAGGAGGGCAGGGGGCGCGTCAGGCCGGCAGTGCTGGCGCAGGCCATCGCCGTGGGGAGGCGGGGGTCCTAGGCAGGCTCCTCGAGACTTCACGCGGGGTCTGGGGGGAGTGCAGTCCAGAGCAGCGGGAGATGTGGGGAGATGTGGGGAGATGTGGGGAGATGTGGGGAGTGCAGTCCAGAGCAGCGGCGATGCGAGTGGCCCTTGTGGTTGCGACTCGCAGACTCTCGTCACCTGCTGGGGAGATCTGCGGAGATAGCGGAGATCTGGGAAGATCTGGGGAGAGATGCTTTTCTCTTCTCGCACCTGCTGCTGGCGCAGGCGAGCGTCTGTCGCGGGAGGAGACGCTGCAGGTCATGTCGCACTTCAAGCATGTCGACTCACCAGACGCGCTCAACAGGCGAGACACGCCGCCCCGCCCCATCTCTCCCCACATCTCCCCGCATCTCCCCGCATCTCCCCCAATCTCCCCGACAGGCAGCAGCTCACCCTGCTCTGCAACTTCCTCGGCATGCCTTCCTTCGGCCCCGACCCGGTCCTCCGCTTCCAGCTCCGCACCAAGCTGCGCCAGCTCCGCAACGACGACAAGGAGAGCATGTGGGAGGGCGTCGGCCACATCTTCCCACATCTCGCCACATCTCGCCACATCTCGCCACATCTCGCCACATCTCGCCACATCTCGCCACATCTCGCCACATCTCGCCACATCTCGCCACATCTCGCCACATCTCGCCACATCTCCCTCCGCAGGAGATCATGTGGGAGGGCGTCGGCTCGCTCACCCGAGACGAGCTCCTCGCGGCCATGCGCGCGAGAGGGCTGCCGAGCGCGGGGCTCGGCCAGGCGCAGATGGCGGCTGCGCTGCAGGAGTGGCTGCAGCTGTCGCAGAACCGCGAGATCCCGTCCGTGTTGCTGCTGCTCTCCAACGCGCTCCGCTTCGCGCGCGTGCGCGGCCGTAGAAGCGGAGCGCGTACTCTAGCGGAGTGCGTCCTCTTGCCGTCCACCCAGCGCTCGAGAGGACGCGCACACCGGCGCCGCACACGTGTGCGCCTCCCGCCTACTCGCGCGGTGCGTGAGAGAGGACACTGCACCCTCCTCCCCTGAGGCTGTTGGCGTGAGCACCACGCAGGTGCGCGACTACCAGCAAGAGGCCCAGGCGGAGAGGGAGGCGGCGGCGGCGTCGAAGGTGCTCGACGACGAGGCCGCGCAGGTCACATCTCTCCCCATCTCTCCCCATCTCTCCCCATCTCTCCCCATCTCTCTCCCCACCTCTCCCGCCACCAGGTCGCGCTCTCGTCGATGCGCGAGGAGGTGATCGACTCGGCGGGCAGCGGTGCGGCCAAGGGGGCGGCGACCACCACCAAGGAGGCGCTGGCGTCGCTCGAGCGCGAGGCGGAGCTGGTCGAGGAGGAGAGATGGGGAGAGATGGGGAGGGATGGGGAGGTGTGAGGAGGTCTAGGCGGAGCTGGTCGAGGAGGAGAGGCAGCTCAAGCGCGCAGGCGTCGACAAGGTCCCGTCGAGCGTGCGGCCGGCGGAGGCTGTGACGTGGAGCGGGGGCGGGAGCGGCGACAAGGCGGCGGCGGAGAAGGCGTCGCCCGCGGCTGCCGACGGCGCGGCGACGGCGGAGGAGGTGGAGGAGGAGGAGGCGACGCGGCTGTCGCGGGAGCAGGTGCGCGACATCGCGGCGGCGGTGGAGACGCTGTCCGCGACGAGCGCGCTGGAGGGCGAGACGACGGAGTGGCAGGAGCGAAGTCACACTACTCAGCACTACTCAGCACGCCATTGCTAATCAGGCGAGAAGAAGGAGTGGCAGAAGCTCGAGGCGGAGAGGCTGGAGAGCGCGACCGAGATCGAGGA